GAGGGCTTTTGCGGTGAAGTGGGCTGAACGGTCCAAGTTGACATCCAAAGTGTCCAGGGGCCTGCCATCAGCAGCCAGGATATTGGCGGGCTGTCCAGGAGCTAAAGATAGAGGTCCACGGTAGTTGTATGGCTGCAGGAGAGGTGCAGAGTAAGCCCAAGGTGCAACAAAGGATGCAGAATAAGGAGCGACGAAAGGAGCGAGAACGGAGCGCTTCTTAAGGATGTGGAATCCACTGTCAAGGGCCTTAGCAGTGAAGTGAGCGGAACGGTCCAAGTTCACATCCAAAGTATCAAGGGGCCTGCCATCAGCAGCCAGGATGTTGGCGGGCTGACCAGGGGCCAAAGAGAGCGGTCCACGGTAGTTGTAAGGCTGCAGTAGAGGTGCAGAGTAAGCCAACGGAGCAATAGGTGCCACGTATCCGCCGTATCCAAAGATGGCTGACGCGGACGTAGCCGCCAGGACGCAAGACAACACCACCAGCTTCAACATTTTGTAAGTGGTCTGTGTTGTTTTCTGAATTCAGAAACACTGATGCTGACTTTAAATTGTATCTGCCTTTTATACCTGCATCATATGTTTATCTAGATAGGGCGTTGTCGACTGTCGGCCATGAGCGGACAACTTTTGACAAAACATACATACTCGTAAGTTCACTTGAAAGGGCATTTTTTCATTTATCCGTGTGCGTATGATTAACCAGGTGCAACATAAGTCTGAAAATCATAACGATTTTTCTATGTGCATTAATCTCTTCTTAAGCTAACATAGGTTAAGTATTTTGTATTACTAACTCTTAGAATAGATAAATTGTATGTGTTTTAGTTTTAAATTCTTTTTTCTGTGTAATTATGGGTTTTTGCCTGAATTAAAGATTATTATTATATTATATTATTATTATATATTATTAATAATCACTAAGTAATCTAACATTGATACATTTGGTGTGTGTAAATAGTCCCACTTTAGAAAATATTTTAATACGAGTAATTACATAACATTATAAATAAATTGTTGGTATGTTATATTAAAACGCAATAATATTTTTTGTTTTCAAATAAACTTTCACGATCGAATTTTAACTCTTTCAATTATGTCATTAATTTTATAATTACCATTATATTTTTATTTTGCCATTTGCTTAATAACATATACTATAATATGTGATAAATAAGATTCAATACTAGCATTATTGTCGAGTCGAGTGGAGACTCGCACACCGTGGGTTCTAACCATGCGACATTCATAACTAATTTGTTACATTGAAAGTTATATAAAATGTTCACCTGTTTGCGAAATCTGTTTTATTGAGGGCTTTATGTTTGAAGACACAATGATATATATATTAGAAATATAACAGTGCAACTATCGGCTTGGCCAAAGCCAGTTTTGAGAAAAATCTGAACTCTAAATATCTATTTAGACCCTTACAAGCTTTTATGGACTTAAAATTTCTTTTCATCCTTCAGTTACTCGTATTTTTACTTTTTGTAATATGATTACATAATTATCTATCGTTTCACATAAGACATCTATCTACCTACATCAGCAATACAGCTCCGACAGTCTTCGAATAAAATGATTGTGACAGACGGATTATAAGGGCGGGACCCTTTTAGTCTTTTGGCTACAGAACCTTAAAAGAGGTGTATAAGGAATATTTGTCGCTATAGCGACTCTATAGAAGCTAAGTAACCATGTTTTATTAACAGCAAAAACTTTTAAGTTATAAAAACTTAAAAAAGAAAAGAAACCAGACTTCCAGGCACTAAAATGTAAAAAATAACTAAACGGGGGTTTTCATTTAGAATAGATACCTAATCCGATATTTTCTAAATCAGTGCCAGCCGATGCAAAACAAATCTAATATATTTCGATACGTAAAATACATCACAAATTGAGGTATAATATTTAAACTATACATAATTAGATAAAATATTCACCTGTATAATTGGAGTACATACCTAATCATATTTACCTATTAGATACTCATATCTTAAAATATTGTCGGCTGGCACCGACTCTGATAAGGTATCTATTCTAAATGAAAACCCCCGTTTAGTTATTTTTTACATTTTAGTGCCTGGAAGTCGGTTTCTTTTTTTTAAGTTTTTAATATTTCCATTTTTAGTGCAGATGTAATAAGCAGGTAATTTGAATAAGAACAAAGTTTTTTAATAACATATTCGATTAAGCAATTTATTCAAAAAAATTATTTATTGTTGATTTTTCAAAAAACCACTCGACCAGTTTCGATAAAATTTAAATAGGACCACCTGGGAAGTATACCCTTCGAAACTAAAAAAAATCCAAATCGGTTCAGGCGTCTTGGAGTAATCCGTGAACATACATAAAAAAAAGATTATGAAGAATTGAGAACCTCCTCGTTTTTGGAAGTCAGTTAAAAATACTGGGCGCACACGTTTTAGCTTTTAAAGTTTTTACCCTAATTATGTTATAATAAAAATAGTAAGGAAGTAATTTTACAATTTGTAGTTTATGTTCGAATGCGTCGTACATTTTATATTTTGCAGTACTCTATTAATGTTAATTGTAAATATTTTATTTGTGTTTAAATTTAAATTTAATTTTATTCTGCACATTATTGTATATTACTCACTTATATAAATAAAACATATCCATACTAATATTATAAATGCGAAAGTGTTTGTTTGTTTCTTTGTCCTTCTTTCACGTCGAAACGGAGTGACGGGTGGAATGCTGGAGAGTGACATAGGTTACTTTTTACTGCGAGAGATTATCTAATTCCCACGGGAAAACACGTTATAATACAATCCAAAAAATATTTATGACCAAAATTACTTGAAACTTGGTATTAATGTTCTTCTATAAAATGAAATAAATCGTGTTTTAGCAGTTTTCGAAATTCATCCTATAAGAGGGTAAAATAGAGGATGAAAGTTTGTATGAATCTACCTTTGTAGAAATTTTGTAGGTTTAGCGCGAGCGTAGCCGCGGGTTCTGCTAGTTTATCAATAATTTAAAACCTAGAGTCATTTGATTTTTTTTAATTTCATATTACTTTACGAACTATATAAAATGGTATAAAAATAAACTTCGAAATTGAAGTGTATAAGCTTTAAATATCATTAAATATGTAGTATGTTATGTATTTTATCAATTTTATAAGATTCAACTTTTCCCAATATTCCATTGACATTTAATTAAATTCTTACTCTAAATTATTTTTACAACAGCAACTCAGACCAATAAAATACTTTATTGTTGGTCTGAGACTAGCGATTATTTTTACACTAGCGACTCACACTCGCTTCGCTCGGGAGTCGGGTTCGTCTCTAGTGAAAAACAACAACAAATTTATCCCACGAGAACCATACATTTTACTATCATTCGACTATAATCTATCTCTGTGCTAAATTTCATCCAGTTCCGTTCTGCTGTTCTGGCGTGATTGAGTAACAAACATACATACATCGAAAATTTCGCATTTATAATATTTATGGCATTCTTTCTGATTAAATCCACGCGTCTAGTTGCACTCAAAGGCTAAAAAGCTTATGTTTATTTACCTTTTCCGCTATCATATTTAATACTATAGATGAAACGAAGTAACTTTTATTTCGGATATTTAATAATTTTTTTTCGGTTTTTTAATTTTCGTTTGGAACATATTACATAGTTGAGGTTTTTTTTTTAATTATTATCCGGTAGAAACATATTATGTACTTTAAAATGCTTGTTTTTGCGAAGAAGATAGATTTTGGTAGTTAAAAAAATAACTATTTTAGACAGAAAAATATATTTTTATACAACAAATATCATTAATTTATTATACTCATAAAATAAATACTCTATAACAAAAGTTAATACATAGTATAAGAGAAGCCAAAGTATAAGAGAAGCCAAAGCGATAGTTCTTTGTATATAAATGAAATCTATTATTATCGAGAACGTAAAATTAAAGTAGACGCATAATTTCAAGGTGCCAAGATTGTAATCTTATTTTAAAACATTACTTGTTTGGCTACAAGCTTAGTAACTATCGATCTTTGTATTTTAGATATACAGCCCTTTTTAACGTCCCACTGCTGGGCACGGGCCTCCCGTCAATACGAGGGGGATAAGGCCATAGTCCACCTCGCTAGCCAAGTGCCGGTTGGCGGACTTCACATGTCTTTCGAAAACTTGTTAGATTCTCTCAGACATGCAGGTTTCCTCACGATGTTTTCCTTCACCGTTAGGCAAGTGGTAATCATGTTAGAAATTATTCGCACATGAAAACATCAGAGAGACCCTGGATTTGAACCCGCTACACTCAGTTTCTCAAGCGAGTGCGTTACCACTGGGCTACCACTGCTTTATTTTTTTTAGATATAAGTCTAAAGTAAATGTGGCATCATAGCCTTTAAGATTTGCATAGATCATCATAATATTAAGCCCTTATTAATATCTCACTAGGTTCGAGTCTCCCAGGCGATATTACGTGGCTACGTAGGTTGTGTATTATTTCAAAAACGATGGATTGGGAAATTATTTTTTTCTAAAAAATTTTTTTAACTTATATCTATTATGTATAGCTATTTATTAAGAATATATATATATATATATATATATATATATAATATATTTGTGAGTTTGTAAGGTGTATTCATGAATTATTATTTATTCAATTACGTTGAAAATCTGGCGAATTGTAGAGTGCAAGGTCGAAAAGGTAGGTATGCCGTATATTAGTAATTAGTACGAGTAGTAGTAGTTAGTAATGGACGATAATTTTAATGCATGTTTTTTAAATATTTTAAGATTTATATTTATATCAGTTAAGTCCGTTATGTATAATTAATTAGATATATGTATGTATGTGTATTATATACACATACATTATACATATTTGTATAATTAGATTAAATAAAATATATGAGACTAAAGTATTTTGAAGAGTAAATATGAACAAAAATACTTATTTTATTTTATAAACATTTATTTAAAATATGTACATTGTTTTGACGCATGTTTTATATGAGGTGAGCTATGCGATGGATGGGAGAGGAGTATGCAATTGGGCTAAGACGAGCGGCCGTGAAAGGAGCAGTAAATGCGTACGAGGGGGCGATCAGCGGCGACCTGGCGACGGCGATAGTGCTAACGGGCGTGATGAAAGCAGCAGACCGTTTCTTAATCAGATGTGCTCCGCTGAGGGCTTTTGCTGTGAAGTGGGCTGAACGGTCCAAGTTGACATCCAAAGTGTCCAGTGGCCTGCCATCAGCAGCCAGGATATTGGCGGGCTGTCCAGGAGCTAAAGATAGAGGTCCACGGTAGTTGTATGGCTGCAGGAGAGGTGCAGAGTAAGCCCAAGGAGCAACAAAGGATGCAGAATAAGGAGCGACGAAAGGAGCGAGAACGGAGCGCTTCTTAAGGATGTGGAATCCACTGTCAAGGGCCTTAGCAGTGAAGTGAGCGGAACGGTCCAAGTTTACATCCAAAGTATCAAGGGGCCTGCCATCAGCAGCCAGGATGTTGGCGGGCTGACCAGGGGCCAAAGAGAGCGGTCCACGGTAGTTGTAAGGCTGCAGTAGAGGTGCAGAGTAAGCCAACGGGGCAATGGGTGCCACGTATCCACCGTATCCAAGGATGGCTGACGCGGACGTCGCCGCCAGGACGCAAGACAACACCACCAGCTTCAACATTTTGTAAGTGGTCTGTGTTGTTTTCTGAACTCAGAAACACTGATGCTATATTATGACTGCATGCGTCTTTTATACTGTTTTTGTAAATCGATCTAGATTGAGCTTATCGACTGTCGGCCATGAGAGGACAACTTTTGATATTAAAAAAACGCTTTTTGGGTTCTCTAGCCAAATGGACTAGAGAGCTTTATTTTTTATTCAGAAATAGACAAGGAGGAGACAAACATATATGTATTTCATCTTGTAAAATATTATATATAAATGTAATGGAGTAGACAAATTACAAAAATACATTATAAAAGGGTTGGCATTTATAATTACATAATAACACTATTTCTGCGGATTTTTTCCGTGGTTTTATTTAGATTTTTGTATTGCCGACGTTTAATTACATAATGAAATTAGGTAATAAAATTATAAGCGTAAAAAAATTAAATACTAAAGCTTACAAAGTATTTGTTATACAAATTATCTTATAAATTGGTGATTTCTAGGATACATAAAACTTTTTGACATGCTTTTTTAACTTCAGTTTACACTATGTAAGTAAATCTTGGAGGTTGAATTTAACTCTAATTTTGAGTAGGAGTCAAGAACTAGATATTCACTATTCGCTACTTTTCCTTGACTTCTTGTAAAACTAAGAATTCTGTTTCATTTAATTTGTTTTGATGAGTAACATATGTTACAGTTGGTCAAAAACATGTTTATGATTCTGTAGTCAACAAGCAAAGGTCTTTATACGGAACCTTTACTAAAGAACTTTTATATCTTACCAATACCATCAGACCATTTGATATTTCTAATGACTAATGTGTCCGGATTTTTTTTGCGGATATATTTTGATTTTTGGTTTACAATGTGTCGAGTGCTTTACTGCAATCATGGTCATAGAAGAGACATGTTCTTGTAGTTGAGAAAATGAAAATTGCGAATTCATAAATTTCATATTTGATTAAATTTTAACATAAGAAATAACGTAAGTTAAAATGTAACAAAAAATATTTTTAATGGTACGGAGCCCTCGATGCGCTAGTCAGACACGCTCTTGTCCGTAATTTTTTTCATATAATTATATGTGCGCATATAATTAATTTTATGTAATATAATGACTAATATTAATTACACGTTTGCAACTTACGAAAATGTAATGCATTAGAAATCATTACAATGAATAATAAATATATCATATAAATTGTAAACTATTTATGACATATTATTAACTTATTAAAAGAAACTTAATAATAATTAAATATAAAATTTCTATAATAAAGCTTATTCTAATTTAAGCTCTTTATCATTAATTTCAATGAATTTTATAGGTAGGTACTACTCGTAGTTTAGTTATGAAGGTAAACTGTACAATTAATCTCATACTTTTATTTTTAACAGTTGCATAAATAAATATTATGTACATATTTGCTTTTAGAGCTAGTTTTCCATGGAAAGCTGTAGATAAAAATGAGGTTAAGTGTCCCAATATCTACCATATATGAGTATGTCTGGGTCTAGCTAGTAGGCCTGCATATCATGGTCCTAAGCTCTATTTTCAGGTCAAACCAATAATGAGTTTTCTTTTACGACATACTTATTCTGTAGTAGAAGATGAAGGATCGATGGTTTTTGGACCTCCGTCTCTGGGAGAGTACGTTAAACTCATCGGTTCTGCGCCTTATCTCTCTCTCACTGGTCGTGTTAAATTGTCTTTCTATTGGACCATGGAGTTAAAGCAACAAAGGATACACTTATATCGCTGCCATAGCTCAAATTGGTTCGGAGTTCATTACAATAAAGCAAGTAAAGTTTTATTTATTGACTCACCCTCGCTTCGCTCCGTTTCGTCCCTAGATACGTTTTAACGGTAAATATAGAATAGACTATATATACATATACCTATGCACATTGTACAATTACACACATACGTATAGAAAAATAGTTAAGTATTATAAAAAATAAAAAAATATATATTCCTTTCTTGAGAAATGATTGATTTTTCCATTCAATCTTCCACCTCCCTTTTTACCCCCTTAAATATGACATGTTTTCCTATAGCTATTTTTTACCAAAATTTCATCTAAATCGGTTCAGTAGATCCAGAGGTTATCCCCGACAACGTGACGTTGTAACGTCACAAACTCACAATCTCACAAACTCACAAAATAGATAGACAACAAAAATTTCAAAAAACTTGATTTAATCTAAAATATTTTATGAATTCCGTAACCAAAGTAATTGTGCAATTTGTTGTTTATATGCCAATTCGTTGTACATACTTTTTTATTTTTACAGTATACTATTGCTGTAGGTATCTACATTTATATATTATGTCGATAATGAAGATTATTTTTTTTTCATTTGATTCCAGTTATTTTTATATAGTGCTTCCATTAAATAATTTTTAAACGGTTAATTTTTTCTTACGTGTTTTTACTTCGTATTGCAATAGACTACATGGCCTCAGTGTATAAGCAAACTCGAAATGTAAACGATGTATAATAAATTTTACAGATCATAAAAAAGAGCATAGTTTATGTTATAACATAGAATCCTAGTGGATTTACGAATATTCTGATAGTAAATATGATTATCCATTTTAGGTACATTATCACCTGTGGTGAGGCTACAAGGATTAATACTTCCTTTGCTTCTGGTGCAAAAGAAATACATAATCCTTCCTTCTCTCCGAATCACCGAGGTCCGAGACATCGCCAACTTCACAACTGATACTGGTTTAATGTTCAGAATTTTTTAGCAGAAATTTCAACAACTAAACTTGACTCAGTCCGGGACGTAAACCCGGAACCTGCAGTCGTTCATGCTAGCCGCTGGACTACCGAAGCAGTTTTACGTATAATGTACATATATATAAATAGCACAAGACAACACCTAGCCAAAGCCAGGACGGGTCGTTAATAGTATTATTTTATGTAGTCTTTTCGTCTACTGTATTAACAAATACATATATACTCGTAGGTAAGTTTAGAGTAAAAAAATACATTGCCAGTGACAACTGACCATGAGAAGATAATTATTAATGAAAACAAAAGTTACCTAAAAGGGCATATTTGTTATTGACATTATATACACAATGTAATTTCAATGATTTCCTTCTTAATACAAGCTGCTGTTACTGTGGCAATTTGTGAATCATTTTAAAGCATCACACTTAAAAGTTTAAACATTTTCCATTATCATTGTATAAAAAAAATAACTGTTTCAAAAATGTTTTATTGATAACACTAAAGCTAAATAAACGGAGTGGAAAAAGGTATTGAATTGACTGTTTTGTCTTTGCGATTACTAGCGCTATCCTGCGGCTCCGCCTGCGATAGTACGTTTAAAGAACTTAAGAAACGAACTATTCAGTTTTTCATATACGTAATGTTTTATAAGCTCAATTCAATTTTAATTTAATTTGATGGTGATGATTAATGATGATTGATTTTATTATAAATACTTGCATTGAATTACAATATTTAGTGTTACAGAACCTTTTCAGACAAGTGCCAGTCTGAGCCCGAGTTCATTTTTGATTTTTTGAACACCACTTGCCTGGAAATACCAGCTTGTATTTTGAAAAAATCCGTTTTTGGAAAAAGGTCTATCTAACTCTTAGGAGCGGAGCAAACCATTCTAACATTATAAATGTGGAAGTGTGTTTGTTTGTTTGTTTGTTTGTTTGTTTGTTTGTTTGTTTGTTTGTTTGTTTGTCCTTCTTTCACGTTGAAACGGAGAGACGGATTGGCGTGATTTTTTGTATATAGATAGATAATAGGACGGTAGCAGAGTGACACAGGCTACTTTTTGCCACGAGAGATTATCTAATTCCCACGGGAAAATACGTTATAATACAATCCAAAAATATATTTAAAATCAGAATTACTTGAAACTTGGTATTAATGCTCTTCAATAAAATTAAATAAATATGTGTTTTAGTAGTTTTCGAAATTCATCATATAAGGGGGTAAAATAGGGGATGAAAGTTTGTATGAATTATCTTTTTAGATAATTTTTCGTAGATTTAGCTTGAGCGAAGCCGCGGGATCTGCTAGTTATTCATAATTGTGAGCTAAAAGTTCATTCTTTACATAGTGTAAGATTAAGTTGTACTTAACTTATGTTACTCAAATTAGTTGTCTAGGTCTGAACTTATTGTTTTTATTAATTATTAGTCTTATTACACATAAGTAACAAAACCAGGAAGGCAACAACTTTACAGACAAACGGGTATATTTTAAAAACAACTTATGTAAGTTTGTTTATGTTTCATTTATTCAGTGTCAAAGATTAAGATTAAAGATTTAATTTAAGATTAATAGAGCATTAATAGCGATTTTTAACTTTTAGCGAATTAGTTAACTTCACCCTTAAAATATATTATCTTCTTAAAGAAATGGTCTTGAATGAAACCTACATTTAATAATAAAAATGATAGATTTTTTTACCAAGTTTACCATGCCTTTTTACCCTCTTTAGAGGATAAATTTTGATAAAGTTTAAAACTCGTGTTTATCTAATTGCACTATACGAATTTTAAAGTAATTCTAATCAGAAACAATTTTTCCTCATATATATACTAACCTAACCTAACCACCCAATTTTACTCCTTTAAGGGATGAATTTATAAAAAGTCTAATATCCCTATTTTTTTTGTTATAATGCTAAGTTCTGATTTCCGTGCAATTCACATTAAAAGAAAAGACAGTTTCATCAAATTTCATCCCCTATTTCCCTCTTTAGCGGATGAATATCGAAAAATCGTTTCTTAAATGATGCCTACATTATAAAATGAATATTTTCTCCAAATTTCAAACATCTATTATCAGCACTTTTGGCTGAACGTTGATAAATAACACAGTGAGTGTTTAAATACATAATACATACAATAATAGTACATACCTATATATGTATAGAAAACCAGTAGAAATTGAGTCAATAGTAAAAATATATTAATCCCTTAAAAAGGGAAAAGTGTTCGTAAGTCCGCGGATGAAAATTCACGTGGAAGCATTGCTATAATAATTTACCTATGTTTTTGCTATTCACGTGAACAAAATCGTGTTCGAAAAAGTAATTTCAATCAAATCAAAAGCAGGGTATTTCAGTTTATTACTTTTTTGTCTAGCCAGTAATATGTACAAAGAGTGAAATATGTTTAGTTTAAAAAAAATAAACACTATTTACATAAGTTAAACTCTAATAATAATTCTAAAATTAACAGTTAAAAAAACATTTTATATAATATAAAAGATAACCTATTCTATAAAATAAAAACAATATTTTTGAAGTTGTATTTCTTTTGGCACGTATGAAAAAAACACAGGAACAGCCAAAAAGCGACATGATGAAGTTAGCTGAAAGCGACATGCATTAGTTGCATTTCTTTTACAAACAGAAAGTTGTGACATACGGGATAAAATCTTTATTTTGTTTTGTTACGCCAAAGAAGTATATAACTTCTTACGTGCGTACATAAGTACACATAGACGTCTTTTTTTCTTAGAATTACTTATGTCAGGATCAAGTTACATATACTTCTTGTTTATTTACACAGATAAATCTGTAGTAAATGAAAACCTCCATTCATTGAAAACTTTTTAATGTCTAGATGTGGGTTTTTATTAAAAAAAAAGATTTTTTTATGTCATTTTAAAATCCTCAACCCTTGTAGTATGTTATGTATAATAACCAAATTGTATCATGAGATGAGTCCGTATATAATTATTTATACCGTTCATAAATAAGTTATATTTTTATGGTGTAAAACGTATCCCGTTTTATATATATATATATATATATATATATATATATATATATATATATATATATATATAGAATTATTTTCACTTACTTTTATGAGTTTCTGATGTATCGGCATTGTTACAAGCGCTATGGTTACGGGTACGTTTTATATCATAAAAATATTGTCAGTGACCATGAAAACTGAAAGAAATGAGTTATAATACGAAACAAAAAAAATCATATCGCTATGGTAGTTCCAGAGATAAACGCACTGCATACATAAAAGAATATATGTACTTTCTATCTTCTATATTAGTTCATATCACATATTATGCTTAGTTATAACAAAAATAGGGATATTAATTTACAGAGAAGCGATATCAATACTTTTTAGAAAATTCAGATTGTTTTACCTACCGAGTATTTTGTTTCTTTGCAGCCAAAATTGGTATAAAATAAATTGTTAGGTGCACATGTTGCGGCTTAAAAATAAATTAATACTTTGTTAGATTTACGCGAATATTTGACATTTTAAATAAACTATTTCCTCCCGTCTCCATCCTCTCCAGTCTCTCCCGTGACCATGATTGCTGTAAAGCATTCGAAACGTCGGGAACCGAAAATCAAAATAGTTTTATTTAAAAATAAATTGTTTAGGGTTCCGTAGCTAAATGGCTAAAACGGAACCCTTACAATTTCGCCATGTCTGTCTCTCCGTCTGTCCCTTTGTCGGTCTTTCCGTCTGTCGATATATCACAGCCATTCTGCACGAAGACTTTTAATTAGATCGATACATTGCTGAAAAATAGATGCCTTATGTAAGCCGCTAGACCATCATAAAAGTGCGTTCTTTGAGATTTAGATGTTCCTCAGTGACTTTTTTGTTGAAACCAATAGTTACAGAGTTACATATTTTATGCTTCTTAATTCGTTACCTTGTTCTTTCATGCGTGAGTTTTTGTTTACTTAAAATGGTATGTTTAATTTTCTTTAAATAGTTCTTATTAGGTACATATGTGTAAAATATTTTTCTTAACCGTCAAGTAAATAAAACTGCAGAATATCCCTTAATTTATATAATTTTTGCATTGTTATTTACAGTCGTTAATTATGGTGGAGTTTATAGGACATGGGTAACATGGGCAGCAGTGTAAGCTATCGGGCTGAGATGAGCAGCTGCGATGGGTGTAGCGTACGTATAGGCAGAGGTGATCAGTGGCGTCCTAGCAACGGCAACCGTGCTGATGGGAACAAAGGGGGCAGAACGTTTCTTTAAGAAATGCACACCATTAAGTGCTTTAGTAGTGTAGTGAGCGGAACGGTCCAAGTTGACGGCGAGGGTGTCCAGGGGTCTTCCGTCGGCACCTAGAATGTTCGCAGGTTGACCAGGAGCAAGAGACAGGGGTCCACGGTAGTTGTATGGTTGGATAAGCGGCGCAGCATAAGCTAACGAAGCAGCGATGGGTGTAATCAGAGCTGCAGAGCGCTTCTTGAGTACATGTAGTCCACTGTCTAGAAGTTTGGCAGTGAAATGAGCTGATCGGTCCACGTTCACATCTAAAGTGTCAAGGGGCCTACCGTCAGAAGCCAATATGTTAGCGGGCTGACCAGGGGCCAAAGAGAGCGGTCCACGGTAGTTGTAAGGCTGCAGTAGAGGCGCAGAGTAGGCCAAGGGGGCAAATGGTGCCACATATCCACCGTATCCAAGGATGGCCGACGCGGACGTCGCCGCCAGGACGCAAGACAACACCACCAGCTTCAACATTTTGTAAGTGGTCTGTGTTGTTTTCTGGACTCAGAAACACTGATGCTATATTATGACTGCATGCGTCTTTTATACAGGCGTCAAACATTAACTTAAGGGGCATCGCCGGAAGACATCGTTGACCATGAAAAGACAACTTCTGCTATTAAATGAAAGCTAGTTTATTTATCTAGATGATTTTTGTTTTCGTTACGTTAACGTTCTTGTTTTCATTGCCTTTTATAATTTAATGGCTTGAAATATACGCAATTATACGATATTTCGTCGATTCTTTGAAACTATACCTCAATGTATATATATGAAATAATATAGATGGAAATCGGGAAAAGATAAAAATATATGTATTTAAAATCCAATAATTAAGAACAATAAAATGTTTTTTTTATACATTTTACTATATTTGTGTAATATAATGACAGGCAATATTAGCTTGAATAAATAGTTATTGATTAAAATATATGGTTATATATATTTTCTCATACAGTTACACTTTTATTAATTTTACTAACATGTTTGATGTCACTGTGATTTACTGCATTTGACATTATTAGAAGAATCGATCTACGAGTATTACAAAAAATATCTATGTTTATTAATGTCCTAAAAACAACAAATTATTTTGAAATTTCACAAAAAAACACTGTACATGCACACTGCATAGCACTGATGAAAGTAATGCATAAGTCTGGTACCTATATCGACGCATCGGGTTCCGGTCTTTTAGGCCTGATAATGGCACCAGGTGAAAAAAAATATCCTTGTGGTCAGTATCAGATATTTTAGAATACAATTATAAATACGACGACAGATTTGGCTCAGTTTGTAGTGACCCTACTTACTGTGACAGTGGTTGCGGGTTCGAGTCCCGCTGGGGGCATTCATTTGTGTGAAGAGCACGAATATTTGTACTTAAGTCATGGGTGTTTATATTTATAATATGTATATATTTAAAGTTATATACAGGGTCATTTTTAATTTACTGAAAACCTTTTGGGAATATACTATGTACATCTTAACAACAACATCCGTAAAAAAAAAGAAATATTTCTTAAAAAAAATCGTTTAATTTTCAGATAGGACTCATGCTTTTTGTCAAAATAAAAAAAAATAAAAAAAATTATGGAGGTGCTGTAAAAACACCCTTAAAAATTTAAATAATTGGAGAAATCGATAATTAAATTACTTTGTAAACTACATTTTTTTTAATTATCATTGAAGAAGTGTACTTTATTGACAATTTTTTTATAAACTAATTACACCAATGCATTTTTCAGGAAAAAAAAGAAACAAAAATGTACTCTTAAGTTTTTAATTTGACGCTTATTATTTATACAATGTCGCTGTAATGCATTCCAATTTTGCAATTTAACGAGTCGTGAAAAAATAATAAAAGTTGGAATTCACGTAAAGTATACCAATGCATGGCACTCGCCGGCCGATGCCGCGCCACGCTCGCTTCGCTCTTTCGGTGGTTGTACGTTGTGGTCATTGTTCTAACCTAACCAATCTAGAAAGAAAGAAAGTTTACTGCCAAAAAATAAAATCTGAGCGAGTGGCGCGGGGGAAATGGGCAAGAGTCCACGCACTTTGTGCTACGTGATTAAAAATGACGCAATATTTAACATTGTCCAACCAGTGTTGGGTAGACCTAGGTGTGTATGGGTAAATCCCGATTAGAAATTTATTTAAATTATTATTTGGACTTTACCCAAAAAGCTTGAGTGATTCTAAGTAAGCCCGGGTACACCTAGGTTTACTTAATCTTCTAGCATTACCCGTAATATATATAAATATGCTAAGGATATTTATTAGTGCGTCAAGTGGTCTTATTTAAATAAATACATTATTCAAGAGATGCACTGATCCACTGACTCATTTAGATATGTACATATATGACCTAAATCTGTGATGAACGCGTGCTTATTTCTCACCCGTGTAGTGCTTTCAGAAAGCTATTGTGATTATTTTTAGTTGAATACCTGCTCTATGACGTTTTTTCATAAATCATTAAAGTAATGATGACATAATCTAAAAAAATCCAGAGTTATATTTCTCATTTTATAAATGTTAGGTTTTACAGATTATAATTAGTAATTGTGTGTTGTGTTCAGTAATTGTTCGAGCAATAAGAATGTAATTAATAATTATATACACCAATCTATTCCTTTTTACTCATCAAATGAATACAAAAATGTACAATAAAATATATTCCTTTGGTAACACAAAAAAACTACTGGAGCAGGCGGCATTTAAAGTATTAAATGCGAATGTTTGTTGTTGTTTTGTCCTTCTCTCACGCAGCAACATATTAATTTTGATAAAAACTCGTAGTTCATATGGGGTATAATTCGTTACTCTGTACTTAATTAAAATGGAATTTCGTAAAAATACGATCATATAGAACTTGTAATTACCATTTGTTTTAAAATTATACTTGTATAAATCTCTAATGGATCTTTGTATTTGTTAACATAAAAAACCGCCTTTCTAACCGACTTCCAAAAAGGAGGAGTTTCTCAATTCGTCGGAAATATGTTCACCGATTATCCGAAGACGTCTGAACCGATTTGTTTTCTTTCGAAGGATATACTTCCCATGTGGTTCCATTTAAATTTTATCGAAATCTGTCGAGCGGTTCTTAAAAAATCATTCTTAATAAATTGCTTAATCGAATATGTTATATCAGGCTTTATTTTACTCTTAGAATGTTGATGGCCGATAGGCCATAGCTTTAAATGAAATAATATATTTTACAAAATATATTAACTAATAGTAGATGTAATTCAGATACTATCAAATACGCATGTATGTCAATCTATTTGGCATATCATTAAAAGAAAAATAAATTAAGATAACTTAATAAACTTGCTCCACGTAAATATCAATTTCCTGAACAACTTTGCACCGGTTTATAAAATGAGATCGCCTTTATCATTGTTGTTCGCTTTCTATAAATACAATGCAAAATATTGTTTTGTATCAGTTGCTTCTCGTTCGAACAACACAGACCAAGATGTTCAAATTGGTGGTGTTGTGTGCTTTCCTCGCCGCGGTTGTGGCTGAGCCCAGTGCTACTTTCGTCGCGCCTTTGGCATACTCGGCCAACTTCATTGCACCAGCTACTACTACTATCACCAACCAGGCCAGCAGTGTCGTCCATCCCTTACCAAACCAGATTTACTCCCGATTCTATCAGATACCTTACTCCCCAGTGGCTCATTTCATCAAGAAACGATCACCAGGATTCCTAAACACATTCATCGCACCATCTTCATATATTGCCCATACACCATTGGCAACTACCTACGCTGCTGCTCCCCTGGCCACTACTTATGCTGGAGCTCATTTGGCGGCAACCTACTCTGCGCCAATCTACACTACAGCCGCGCACTTAATAAAGAAGAGATCTGCTCCATTGATTGTACCTAGCACATACATTGCGCCATCTTACTCTACTCCTTTGGTGACATCAACATACACAGCCGCTGCACCTATTCTGTCGACGCCATACTTCGCAAGCGCGCCTTTTGCCTACACGCACTTAATCAAGAAACGTTCAGCACCATTGTTATTGACAAGCTACGCGGCACCAGCGGCCTATTCCCACCAGTCCAGAATAGACGTCAAGAGCTCTCCTGCTGCGATTACATCTTTTGCCTATTCTGCTCCACTATCATACGCTAGCCCAATTGCCATTTCACATGTCTTGTAAGAATTGCGCTTTAAATGTGATATACTGCAAGTCTAGACGAAGTAAATAAAATCTACTTTAAAACTTTTTCCATTTTTTATTGTTTTTACATATATAACATATTCGTATATTATGGTTAGAGTTATTATGTCTAAGATCCATTAATACTTACATATATATTTTTATTAAATTCAAATTATTTTATATAATCTTATATCTTTAAACGAGCAATTCTTGTATATATATATATAATCTGAATCTCGGAAACGAATCCAACGATTTTGCTGAAATTTGGTATGTGCGGGTTTTCGGGGGTGAAAAATCGATCTAGATTAGTCTTATGTCTGAGAAAAAACCTGTTTTCGAGGTTTCATGCGGTTTTCTTTCGCATTATTCCACACAAAATATAGTCGGTAATTTCGCACACTCAGTCATAAGCATCGTGATCAAGTGGCCAAGGCGCAAGATCTACAATCACATGTGTTCGAATCTCAGTCGGATACAAAGTTTTTAATAATATTTTTTTTGTTATTTTTATATTTATTCAAGTTTTTTGTTCTTTTAAAAAAAAAAGAAAGTTGTACTTTAGGCCAAAAACTCCGAGCGAAGCTGGGTAGCCCAGGTACTTATTAGTAAAGAGAGCAAAAAGCTCAATAAGACTAAGCACATTTAAACCCCTGTCGCAAAAGTTTGGTGTTATAAGTTTAACGTCTTATTCGTTCGTTATCTGTGCGTTTGTCTATGACATCGTAGCGCCCAAGTAGATGAACTGATTTTAATTTTTTTTTATTGAAATGTGACTTAATCGAGAGTGTTTTTAGCTATAAATCAAGAAAATCCGTTCAACCGTTTGCATGTCATTAGCTCTTTTCTAGATGGTAAAAGGATATAAGCAATTTACACAGATGTAACCCATTCAAAACTAGGTATCCCGTTAACTCAATTGATATAAACATTGCAACGATATGGTACCCTGGTATCCTTGATCTGATGCTGCAGTGAACCTAGAATCAGTAAGATACTCAACTCTTTACTAAAATACTGCAGAGATATCGTGTTAAGTCTCATTGGTCTCAATGAATAGGTTATTGTGTTGGGGTTTTTTTTTAATTTTAAATTTAATTTCTTGTTACATGTCAATATTAAAATTATTAAATTACATGAATTATTGATCATAAACTATCACCATTTATACTGATAGAAACTATATGATAACTCTATCATTTATAATACTTGTGAAATGTTATTGAAATATATTAACATCATAAAGTACTTTAAAATGATAACTGCATTAAGCGGAAAGCAGTAAAGTCGTAGAGGGAATTTATTCTTTCTTTTTTGTAATTAAGTAATTGAAAGTTACAACTATTTGATTTACTAAAATTAACACTGTTTATAAAATGTTGACATTTGTTATACGATAATCGTGAACTAGTCCTTGATAAGTAAAACAAAGTATGCACCTGCAGACCGTAAATAAATTATCTCTATCTATTCTCTATTTAATCATTAATGATAAATTATTATTTAGAAATGTTACGTGTAAATAAAAATATAACTGATATCCATTCAAATAAAAGATGGAAAAACGTTGCCAAATTTAATTTTACATTCGATTTTATAATGATATTGGTAAATATTTTTTTATCATTATTAGGTATTTATTTATTTTAAAGATAAATGTAAGACTTCCAAGATTTGTTAACATAGCGTAGTAACAGGTAATTCTAATAAAAGCGTATTAAAAATGGAGATAATATATCAAACTAGCGACTTCCCCTCGCTCCGCTAGGGTTCTTTCCTACGGTTAGTATAGATTTCTCAGAGATGAGATATTCCCCCAATAAAAAAAACTTTAAAAAAATAACAACCGACTTCAAAAAAAAGCACTAAAACGTAAAAAAATAACTGATCGGTAGTTTTTATTTGTTATAGATACCTAATCAAATATTTTCAAAGTCGGTGTGCCTTGATTTGTATCGGCTGGCACAGTTACTAGCTGTTAAAGATAGATTAAACGAAAGAGAGTTAGAATGTATAAATGTAACAAAATATTACCTGCTGATACCTGGCTGCGAAGAGGTTGCGGCCAAGTGCTCAACGGCAACGCTCACTCTTCAAGTTCTCTATGTACGTATATTTTTGTAAAGTGGAGTATAATTTATTTTAATAACAAGTGGATCGATTTTGTTCCAAAAAGTCAATTGTTATTAATTTAATAAAAAATACTAGCGGGAACATTTTAATAGGCAACCCAGCCAAAACATATTGTCCCTTTTATTATTTTATTTTAGATATATAATTTTTTTGTACGTGTGCTTGTCACCTAACTCTTTCTAAGCGGCTGGACCGATTTAGATAGAATATTTTGTGTATATTTCAATGAGTTCCTAAACGGTTTGAAAACATAGTAATACAAGTGTCACTAAATTTTCATGAAATACTCCATTTTCCGTGCAATAAATAAAAAAATGTTGATTAAATAAAATAAAAATCCATGTGTGTATTATGTTCCCTATTGACTCCAAAACAGCTGAAGCAATTTTAATAAAAATTTCAGGTAATCTTCTTATTACCCCAGCGGGTGATCGTTTGAAGTTTGTTAGCGATCAGAATTTTGGACGCGGGCGAATCCGTGGGTACTGCTAGTTGTATAATATAAAAAAATGATTTTGATTAAAATACTCGATGAACGTAGGCAATCTTTCAGCGGGATCTTAGACCATACGTAAAAATGACAAATCATTCGGCATATTATTTATAACCGACGAAAAGAAACGAGAAGGTTCTCAATTTGACGCGTATATATGTTTATTTTAATGTTTCACCACGCATTACTTTTTACAGTGTAGTCCGATTTCGATGATTCTTTTTTTCATTGGACAGAGTAAAAAATTTCCTCAAAGTTTTAAATTGGAAATAAATTCACACCTAAGTGTATAGAATAGGGGAGGATTGATTTTTCACCTACAGAATTTAAAAAAAAACTTTCTTCTTAATTTTGCTATTACTATGTCAACACTAAAAATATAATGTTGTTTTGAAGTCGGTTTTTATTTTACAATTTTTTAAATAAAAAAATTTCGTTTTTAAATAAAAACCGACTTGACAAGAAACTGACTAAAAAGTAAAAATTAACTGATTGGTAGTTTTCATTTACTATACATACCTAATCAAATATTTTCGAAGTTCGTATGATTTGATTTGTATCGTCTGGTACCGACTTCGAAAATATTGAAAAAGTTTTTATTACGCTTAGTTTTGCTCTGAGATAGCGGTAGTGACTAGTGAATATTCTTCGTCTTATGTCTTTGCACCGCATTATTAGACCAGGGTAGAAGCCTTTAAAAATAATAAAAAGTGAAAAAAATAATAGTAGGATGCAACCCGTTAGAAAAGGAGGGGAATATTATAAAAATGAAAGGAAAAATAATTTACGGGCGATCTGAGGTCGGGAAGGGGGTGGGGGGGAGCTTTTAAGGGTAAAAAACGGTTTTTCTCGATTTCCGGCAAAACTAAAAGTTCTATCGAAAAAATCAAATGGCAAAGTTGTAGGTAAAAAAAGATCTAAAACTTTTGTGTTTAAACTTTTTTCACATAACCTCAAAATTTATGTGAAAAATTCAAAAAACCAACTTTTTGGTTTTTTATTTTTATCTTTCACAAATTTTTTTAACGAAATTTGGTGAAAACTTGCCTTTTATGCCCCAAATACGCTGTAATTTATTTGATAAAAAATATTTATTTTTTCACCTTATTTTGAATTAATATCGAAAAAACACCCTAATTTTCAATCGACAATTCACCCGTCAAAATATCAGCTTTTTTCAAAAAGTTGGTATGTTTTCTGTTCGTTGAAATGTCTACTTTCCGATGGTGAAAAAAAAATATTACTATAGTAAATCTTCTGAGAAAATGCAAAAAACAAAAAACCTTTTTATTTCATACACTTGCTTATCATCTGCCTTATTGCAGATTATACAAACAGATTCATCCATACTGATAATCTGAAAAGACAAAATCGAATTAATAATGCCTTCCATCGTGAGTATAAAATATATGAAATATTCATGAAAATCGGCCAAAAGTTAGTTATTAAAAATATATTTATAATATATTTATAATATATTTTTTATACATTTTGACATATATTTCTTTAATATATTTTTTTTCATGGGGGTATACTCACGATTAAATAGTGAAGGCATTATTAATTCGATTTTGTCTTTTCAGATTATCAGTATGGATTAATCTGTTTGTATCATTTGCAATAAGGCAGATGATAAGCAAGTGTATGAAATAAAATTTTTTTTTGTTTTTTGCATTTTCTCAGAAGATTTACTAAAGTAATATATATTTTTTTTTTCACCATCGGAAAGTAAACATTTCAACGAACAGAAAACATACCAACTTTTTGAAAAAAGCTGATATTTTGACGGGTGAATTTTCGATTGAAAATTAGGGTGTTTTCTCGATATTAATTCAAAATAAGGTGAAAAAATAAATATTTTTTATCAAATAAATTATAGCGTATTTGGGACATAAAAAGGCAAGTTTTCACCAAATTTCGTTAAAAAAATAATTGTGAAAGATAAAAATAAAAAACCAAAAAGTTGGTTTTTTAAATTTTTCACATAAATTTTGAGGTTATGTGAAAAAAGTGTAAATACAAAAGTTTTAGATCTTTTTATTACCTACAACTTTGCCATTTGATTTTTTTCGATAGGACTTTTAGTTTTGCCGGAAATCGAGAAAAACCGTTTTTACCTTTAAAAGCGACCCCCCACCCCCTTCCCGACCTCAGATCGCCCGTAAATTATTTTTCCTTTCATTTTTATATATATTTCCCTCCTTTTCTAATGGGTTGCATCCTACTATTATTTTTTTGGTTTCAAAAATTATCGACTCTGGTCTATATAGTGTTTTTATCATTTAATTTTCTTTTTAACTATGACTACATTTTTAAAGGATTCGTACAACAAGAATATTGAGCGAACATCTTATTTAGTTAACAACTTAGATGGGTTTTAATAGGTTGACCTTTGAATGTTATATAAATTAAGTTTTGAGCAATCAATTAGAACTCTAAGAGAAGATTATAAGAAACAATAGTCAATAACCACATATCTTTAAGTGTACTTCCTAGAAAATACTATAACACTTTGTAAAAGTTAGTAAAAAACGTTAAAGTATCTTCTTATTTGTTCTTATTTTATGTCCCCAGTAGGTTGTCTTGACAGTGATGAACTGACTAGTGTAAAATTCTGGATGTCCTTGCTCTGCGTAAATATCAGCTTCCTGAATGACCTTCTTGCACCGGTTTAAAAAACGAGATCGCCCTTATTATTGTTAGCCGCTTTCTATAAATACAATGCAAAATATTATTTGCCATCAGTTGCTTCTCGTTCGAACAACACAGACCAAGATGTTCAAATTGGTGGTGTTGTGTGCTTTCCTCGCCGCGGTTGTGGCTGAGCCCAGTGCTACGTTCGTCGCGCCTTTGGCATACTCTGCCAACTTCATTGCACCAGCTACAACTACTATCACCAACCAGGCCAGCAGTGTCATCCATCCCTTACCAAACCAGATTTACTCCCGATTCTATCAGATACCTTACTCCCCAGTGGCTCATTTCATCAAGAAACGATCACCTGGATTCCTAAACACATTCATCGCACCATCTTCATATATTGCCCATACACCATTGGCAACTACCTACGCTGCTGCTCCCCTGGCCACTACTTACGCTGGAGCTCATTTGGCGACAACCTACTCTGCGCCAATCTACACTACAGCCGCGCACTTCGTAAAGAAGAGATCTGCTCCATTGATTGTACCTAGCACATACATTGCGCCATCTTACTCTACTCCTTTGGTGACATCAACATACACAGCCGCTGCACCTATTCTGTCGACGCCATACTTCACAAGCGCGCCTTTTGCCTACACGCACTTAATCAAGAAACGTTCAGCACCATTGTTATTGACAAGCTACGCGGCACCAGCGGCCTATTCCCACCAGTCCAGAATAGACGTCAAGAGCTCTCCTGCTGCGATTACATCTTTTGCTTACTCTGCTCCACTTTCATACGCGAGTCCAGTCGCCTTCTCACATGTTTTCTAAAAATATTTTTTTTAGCCTAAATGACTGCAGAAATGTAGTGTTCTTTTACGAATTGATGCAATTGTAGTAAATATTTCGTGATTTTTTACCGGTACAACTTTTTTTACACTGTAAATAAAATTATCCGAATAAAATAGTCTATTTTTTTATTATGTTTTCAAATATATTTTAAGTCTTAGATATATTTTGGTTTAATATTTTTATAACTGTTGATCCATAAATTTTTTGTTGCTAGGCGCACTTTATACTGCAGGAGAAATTAGTAATTTTAATGAAGCCTATTTCATGTATACAACCGGAAATAAATTAGATCGAACAGTTATACCATGAGTATTTACAGATAACGGGGATTGAGCACTTTTACCTAGAAATCTAAAATTATATATGATCAATGAAATATCTAACATTTAGAGTTCTATTATTCAAAATTAATATTCTATTTAACTATTTTTTTTATTATAAAATTGAATTTAGTTTTATGCGAGGACATAAACATAAGAATTGCTATAATGTTTAAATCGATATGTTATTATTATCTATACAATCACTATATTAAATGAAGATTTTTTAAATAAAACGCAATCATTCTCGAATAAATTTAATCAATATAATATACAATAATCAAAAAAAATCAAATGAGTTTAAAAATAAAATGTTAATTTTAATAACTGTGCTTGTAATGAAATTGAAATATGCGAATAAACATTATGAACTAACTATTAAATTAAACCACAATAGGTTGAGTAGGTAAAGCCATGTCCACAATTTCAGTGCTTCCTTCATATATATTATTATTTTGTATAATATTTTCAACAACATTTGTTAATTGGTTTTCGGTTGCATCTTCACTTTGAATAACGATTGGGTGCTCCAGCGCTCGTGCGAGTGGCAGATTATGAAAGAATGTTAAGGCTATAGGTGCGAGTACTGTATCTCTTCTTACTTGGGTCAGTACTATATCACTCTTCTTCTCATCTTTTGGATACGTTGCGTATATAGCTGGGCTGTATACCAAAGGAGTTGCTATAATTTGCGGGATATTCTTTATGTCTACCCGTGATTGATGTGACACTGAACTAGGCGCTGCGTATATCACTGGTAAAAGTTGGCAATTAAATTCAAATAACAAACACAAAAATAATATAGGCCTAAACATTTTGAATCCAAATTTATCATTGATACAATAACGTCGTGAATGGAGGTTTTATAGAAAAATAACGGTAGTTGTGTGTCAATTGCATTCTGAATGAATTCAAGTTCGTGGCCGATGAACAAACAGGTTACTGCATCACAGTGGGGCGATGGCCGGATTGAGATGCACGCTTAATTTATCTTGTTTTATTACATGTTTACGTAATATAGTAAGGAACCTTTCCACTAAGCTCATAAGTTATGATGAATATAAAAGTGGTTAATTTGTTTATACTCTTTCATCAAAATATTAATTTATTTGTAAAAATAATGAACAGTTTCTAGCGATCTGTAGACGAAAAAAAAATCCTTATAATTTCGCCATGTCTATCTAAATGCTTCAGACATTGTACAGTCTAGATAATAACAAAAAAATATAACCACTAAGGACAATCCTTTTTAGATATAAGTGGGGAATGAACATGTTATGACTTATGACATTGTATCGTGATGTTTGAAAATTTTAGGTAGTATGACTTTTTACACTATCTAATTATTTACAATAATTTATGCTAATTTGAATTTCTAGGTATGCAATTATTTTGATATCTTCCCTATCAGAATATTCTTCACATATGTATGTACATGTATATACCAAAAAAATATAAATACAAAACTATTCATAACTAGATTTCGTTAAACTGTGGTTTAGCTATACATTTTATAATAATTTTTTACTAAAAATCTGTTAAAATCCAAAGACAAATCGTATGGAAAATCGAAGCCAGAGCCGGCAATCACACGCCTCTATATTAATAAATTTGAACTATCATACAAATCTAACGAATTCCGACAATTCCGTTTTTTTTCCAGATAATCACAATGCTCAATAGCGTAACGAATCTATTGTTTGATTTTGTAATCCTGTCACTTTGAGTCTCAATATATAGTATAAGAACGTCTGATTTTTTACAAAAAGTATTAGTTTTCATTTATAGCTAGTCTTAGTTGCTTGAGAAACTAAAAGTCTAAGCCAAGATGTATCGTGTGTTGTGTTTGATTACTTGCGTAGCTCTCTGCAAGGGAGTGCAGTAGTGCCACTAATCGTGCCACCTATGTACGTAGTACCAGCACCTATTGTAATGGGCCATGGGCATTCTGCCTTTGGTTTTGGATATGGATATATTGGAAAAGCTTTAGGACATCATATTCACAAAAGATCACCAAATTTGATTCCAGCAGACGGAATTGGACATATTAGCTCTGTGGAGAACGTTGGACACGTTGGCCATTTGGGTAGCATCGTCCCTTTACCCACTATTGTGCAAGTAGCTGCTATAACCCCTTTGGCTATTTCTCATCAGACCCAAGTCAAAATACATTCATTACCAGTGGTTGTACCTATCCGTACCTCTGATTAAAGAGCTTGCACCAATACTTGCTCCAGTACATAAACCTTTACCCTACCATACCTTAGGACATTATGGATCTGGATAAAATGCATATATTAACTAAAAAAATAATTAGCTATGTTTGATAATTTTTTTGAACGTAATAGCAATTTTTAAATAAATATAAAAAGAATTAAGAAGCAGTTTTTTGTTTTATTTACTATCTAATTCTTTGTAATACGTACATATGCATATTATATAATATCATATTGAAGTTATAACGTTGTTTGAATTACTGTCGATAGAATGTTAATTAAAATACTGAAATATTTCTTACCTTTTTTTAATTCAATAAGTATGGCATAAATATATAATTTTAGGTAAGAACATTAGGTAATGTTGTAAGTATTAAAAGAAATCTATTTTCAGTTTGATATAATATCTTAAAATATTTTTAGGTATTTTTAAAGTACACAAATCAAACTGAGGGAATTACTTTGCTTTTCATTTATCGAATTTTATCAATATTTAATATCAATAAAATTTCATAGAACAGTATTTTTTAGAAATATTTTAAGTAAAATCTGGGTGTAAAAAAAGTTCGTTTTCATTTAACAAAATTCATTTATTTTGGCTGTATTGATCTTTTACATACAAGCGCTACATCGGTCGAATATTGTCGGTTGAACATTAATGATTTACCATGAGTGTACAGTGTAGGTCTTGGGAACTTCGGCAGAGTAACCGTAGGTAGATTCCAATGGAGCATTGAAAGCTGTAACGTAAGGAGCTTGGTAGACAAATGGAGATGCAAGGTTGCGGACCACAGGTGAGAAGGGAGAGACAGGATTAAACACCGAGCTGTAAGTTACAGGTGTGACTGAGCGCTTAGCAAGATGGTGAACACCTGAAAGTGCCTTAGCTTGGTAGTGAGCAACACGAGCAGCTACAACCTCAGGAGTATCCAAAGGCACACCGTTGACACCGTCGAGGACCACAGCAGGGGAGTTAGGTGCTTGGGAGAAGGCTACGCTGGGATAGATGGCAGGTACAACTGGTGAGTAAGTAGCGCCGTAGACAGCAGGTACAACTTGGGAGCCATGGACGACGCTGTTGCTGTATTCAGAAACCGAGCTTACAGCTGGCACGGAGCTGTAGCTTACGATGGGCACCGCACTGTATGCTAATGGGGCTACCACGCTGGGCTTGGCGGCAGCCAAGGCGAGTACGGAGCAAAAGCACACAAATTTCAGCATTTTGATCTTTGTTAGGTGATTGATCGATGATCAAAATCGACTGATGCTTCATACAGTGTTCCTAACCTTTATATAGTGAGATCCAAAATTAATTAGCTAAAAAAGGGTACCAAATCACCTTCAAATGTATTGATTCGTTGTCAACTTGATATAGTTTTTACAGTTTAATAGATACGCAGCTTTTTTTGGCGGAAGTCTGTGATCATTCGCAAATATCAAGGCGCACTTGTAATCTATTTTAGAGTATCTAATTCTCATATCAGTATTAACATTCATTCATAGGTAAGTAAACAAACCATAGTGAATAATTTCTTTAAAAATATTTTTAGACTACACGTAAATTCTCAAAAAAGTGAAGTATGTTAAAAGTATTTTTAATACCTAAGTAGAAAAAAAAAGTTTTTTATCCATATAAATAAAAATGAAGGTTAATAGATTATTAGACTAATTAGCCTCATTTTATTTGCGAATATTCGAATTCTGAAGTCCGGGGTATTCTGAAAAAAAAATCTGAAGTCCGGGGTAGGTTCTTATGAAGAGAAAAATTAGAAAAAATCACGGAAAAACGTAAAAATCAAATTTTTCTTTTTCCTTATTATTACATTATAATTATGTTATAATACATTATATTATACGATATAACCTTAAAATTAATATAAGCTACTTGAATGCATTTGTATATTTAACACTTTCTCTTTCTACGATATACAATTTTGACGTTAACTTTATTTGTTTAATTGTTTGTCCTTCTTTTACATCGAATAAAGTGCCAGATTGTCGTGTTTTTGCGTGAATATAGTTAAAGGGCTAGAGGGTGATATAGGCTACTTTTTTTTATTTCGGAGATTATATCGTTCCTACGGGAAAACAAGTTATATCTATTCCACGCTAACTGCCTAAGGACGAACCTGAGCGAAGCGAGGGAGTACCTATTAATAAAATTGAAGTTATTATAATAGTAAAGTTTTATATTAAGCTTAAAAGTAATTAATTATAAACAATTATAACAGCAATAAAGGTTTATTTATTAATAAATTATTAATCCATATCGATACTAATATTATAAATGTGAAAATGTGTTTATCTGTTTATTTGTCCTTTTTTCTGGTTAAAACAAAGTGATCGATTGGCGTGATTTTTTGTGTAGAGATAGTTGGAGGGCTGGAGAGTGACAATAGGCTACTTTTTACTGCGGTAGATTATCTCATTGCCACGGGAAAACACGCTATAATGCAAACAAAAAAAAAATATTATCAGAATTACTTGAAACTTGGTATTAATGCTCTTCAATACAATTTAATAAATGCGTGTTTTAACATTTTTCGAAATTCATCCCATAAAATAGTGGATGAAAGTTTGTATGAAACCTACCTTATAGTTCTTTTTGTAGTTTTAGCGCGAGTGAAGCCGCGGGCGGGTTCTGCTACTTAAATATACATACGAGATTCACCTGTGTAGATAAAAAAAACAAAATGTCAAAAAATAATGTTTGTTTTCATAAAATAGGTAAATTTCCCGTCAAGCTTTTATGTTATACTAGCAGCGCCCGCGGCTTTACCCGCGTTCAAACTACAAAAAAATAAACTCATTTTCATTTTCTCATTAACTCAAGAATTTATGTTAAAACTAATACTGTTCAAATTTAAATGTTTGAGTATGATTTTGAGTCACGCATCGAGGGTTCCGTTCCGCCGAATATAAAGCTTACCGACTATAGATATAAAAAACAAATTTAATTTTAGCGATCGAAAGTCAAAATATACAGTATTTTATTCCGAAAATATATTCTGAAATTAATTTTAGTTTAAAGTATTTAGCAAGCTCCACAATTTCCATTTTTTGCACATTTTTCTACCCTATCTTTCTAAATTTAGAGAAAAACAGTACACTGTACACTGATACAACTCGCATACAACGTTTACGATTTTAGAATTAAAAAAAATAACTTAGTTATTATTGGTCTTATTTAACTAACTTACTAACAGGATAACATCGTTATTTTTAAAGACCGAATTTTATGTACACTTTTTTTAATGTGTAACATTTACTTAATATGTGATCACCTAAGATCCACTTAACTTAGGCCACACTAAAAAATCCCGAACAGGAAGTTAGAATTTAATTTTGAAATTTGCTTGTATACCACATAGTTGCATGTACTGTCTGGTTCTGGGTTCTGCTCAAATATTCACGTGAAAAACAATCCTCTCTTAAGTATACGCCTGATACTTTTAACGACTGGTCCTGATCTTTATTAATGGTTATTGTAAAGAAAGTCCAATAAGGATGAGTTACATAAGATTAAATTCAAAGATATAATCAGAGGTTATCATTGGCATTCAAAGTATGTGTATGTGTAAGTATGAAGAAATAGCTACTATGTTTTATGGATTACATATACTTGCTTATACACATTATGGTGGACCAAAACTACCCATTTCTATCCTCTAGTGGCTGAATTTCAAAATATTCTAATACACACTTTAATTTAATTGTATTTAAGAGTTTTAATACCAAGTTTCAAGTAATTCTGATCATAAATTTTTTCCACATATAAATATAATAATTTTTTTAATCCTATTAGGGGATGAATTTAGATAAATTGTGTAATGTAATAAATTGAGGAGTTTGATTGACCTTAAATAAAAACCTATTCTTAAAAATGATTTTTTTACAACTATTTTATTCATTAGATACTTCACTAAATAGGGATGCTATGCGAGTAAATGCAAATATTTAAAACTGACAGAGCCCGCAACTTCGCTCGCGCTAAAACTACAAAAAATCTCTTATAATATAGTTTCAGACAAACTTTCATCCTCTATTTTACCTCCTTATAGGATGAATTTCGAAAAATGCTAAAACACGAATTTATTTAATTTTAATAAAGAGCAATAATACCAAGTTTCACAACAAACACACTTTCACATTTATAATATTAGTATGGATATTATTGTAAAGTTCTATTAAAATCCAATCAGTAGTTTTTTGTACTAAGCTGTATAAGTTATTATAGTTTTTTAACTATCCCACAGGAACTCTTGAATTTTCCGGGATAAAAAGTATCTAAGATGTTGCCCGGGGATATAAGGTACCACCATGCAAAATTTCATCTAAATCGGTCCAATAGATTCGGAGAGTAGCCCGTACAAACAAACAAACAGACAAACAGATAAACAGACAAACAGACAGAGAAACAAAAAAATTGAAAAAAATCTGGATTTGTTCTATTTGTCTTCTTACACCCCCCTGACTCGGTTTTTAGCATTTTTTTCTATGTACAGACATTCGACCTCTACAGCTTTATTATATGTATAGATGTTTAATAATATGGCCGGTCGCAAAACTTTTGCCAAATCCTATCAGCAGTACAGAAGATGTACTGCGCCGACCCCAAGTGATTGGGAAATGGGCGAAAGAAGAAGAAGACGATGTTTAATATTATAAATATTTAGCTGTTAATAATAGCAAAGTTTTTAGCAATAGCAGTTGTGCACATACATTCGTATGTATAATATTTAAAGATTTTGTATTGATAACCCGTAATAAATTATGACACAGCGTGTATTAAAGAATATCAGTTGCAAATAATGAGACTTCAGTATAAGGTAAACGTGTATCCAAAATCCGACTTGTATATAAATATCAATGCATTCCTTTGTTTATGTTTCAGTCTAGGTCACACGTGGTCTCCAAAACAATACCTAGGAGGACTTGCGCGTGTGTACATATAATGAGTTTATACTGGTATTGAAACGATTTTTATGGAAATATGCAGTTCTTAGGGTTTATTTTTATGAAGCTTTTACTAAATTTTCATATTACTAGCTAAAAAAATTACTGTAATTTATTTAAACCTAAATTAAGCCAATAAATTTTATTACGTAGTAATGGGACGAACTCGGCCAAAGTATGAACTCTTTATGTACCCTGATCGAAGCAGAAAACAAGAATTTGTTCAAACACAAAGCTATCTTCTATATTTGGTAAATGTTACGTGGTGTATATCATTTAAATACCGTTTTACATAACATTTAGGACAATGATATAAAAACTAACCGAACTTGCGGCCTCGCCCGCACTCACACTACAGAAAAACCTTTGTCTTTATACCTTAGTAATAATTTGATGGCTGTAACGATTTTCAAATGTGTATGATTTTGACTCGCGCATCGAGGGTTCCGACCGGCGAAAATTGTGTTGTTTTTACTAACATATTTATACCCATATAAAAATTTTTCACAATACGTACTTTATTATTTGTAAAAATAAGTTCGCGTTTCATATTATTTCTTAATTGCATTTTTGTGGGTATGATATCTTCCTCAATTTTGAATCTTTATTATATATATTTTTTACCAATGTTACCTACATCTCAAGAGTGCTCCCAAAAAATGACACATACCTTCCTTTAAGGTGCAATACTTAATTTTAAGTGATATTGACGCCCCTCTTTTTTTTATTACAATAGTTTTGGTTTCAAATCTATTATTTTTAATTATATAAATAAATTATAATATAAAAATTTAATGAACAATTAATAATGTTATTCATTGTTGGTTTTCTATTAAATTCAAATAAAATATGAGTATGAAGTACGTTATTATATACGTCATTACGTTATTATTGATTGTTACTATGACAATTGTCCATGTTTATATCGAGTAATTAGGACCGAATTCACTCTGGCTGCCAACATAATAAATAAATGTACTCGTTTGTTTGTACATATATGTAAAAAAATCAGATTTGAAAATACATTATATTTTTTGGGTGATTTTACTTGTAAAGTGGTTTTTAAGCTCTATTTTATTATATTTTATTATGAGCTTTTAGTGACTGTAAAATATGATGTGATATAATAAAGGATATTTTTATAATAAAGTTACAATCTTTTATGCAATTGCTTATATAAAATAAATTTTCCATGATTTCAAAAAAAACAACATATATTTGAAGTGTTATTTTATTTTGTATTAAAATTAGAATAAGTCGTTTACTATAATTAAACAGAGAAATTACTTTCTCATTTTAATGATGACGCTTAGTAAAGACGAAAACCGTAGGTAGGGTAGAGTGGCCCTGACACGGACACTTGACCCACGTGAGCTGCTAAAGGACTGGAGAGGAATGGGGATGTTGTGTATGTAGATACCACAGGTCCAGTTGCTACGACTCCAACTGAACGTTTTTGAATTTTGTGTGACTCTTCAAGTGATTTAGCTTCTAGGTGAGCGGCACGGGCGGCGGCGACTTCAGGGGTTTCAGTAGGGGCTACTGGTAATTCAGCACTTTCAGCAGCGGGTTGAACGGCAGCAGAAATTTCAGAAACGACAGGAGAGACATAAGAAGCGAATCCGGCTAATGGTGCAGTATAGGCTAGAGGAGCGGTAAAAGTTGCGCCGTATGCTACAGGATTAGCAAGAGATGCACCGTATGCTACAGGAGTGGCTAGAGATGCACCATATACCACAGGAGCGGAAATCGGTGCACTGTAAGCTGCAGGGGCAACAGCAACAGTGCTGACAACAGCGGGAGATGATTTAATGTCAACGCGAGATTGGGATGACACTGCAGCTGGAGCAGTAATGAGCGGAGCAGAATAAACGGCGGGTGCTGCGTACGTTGCGGGAGCAGCCACGATAGCTTGGTCGGTGATAACAGAACGGCTTAAAGGAGCTACAACCTCAGTGGCGACCACAGCAGGAGAAGACTTGATGTCTACGCGTGATTGGTGAGATACGGCTGCTGGGGCCACTGCTATAGCGGGAGCAGCATAGCTGACTATGCCCGCTTGGAGACCGCTGGGCTTAGCGGCGGCCAGCACCATCACAGAAAATAACACCACCAGCGAGTTCATCGTGGTCTGTGTTAGTTAAGATGAGAACGACTAAAGAATGTAAACTGATGCACTTTTTCGGACGACTCACGTATTTATAGCCTAGTCCCAAATGTATCACAAATCAAGTTCAACGCGTACGCTTACTCATCGTGAGAAGTAGTATGTATACATTGTAGCCGTAAGGCATTTCTTAAAAGCCGGCTTTATAATTTATCACTTACATGTGTATTGTATATGTATATTTACCTGAAAGTTTCGAACTAATTTCCTGTGTGAATATTATTGAAAAATATATTTTTCTATTATATAGCCTTAGGATATAACTTAATGAGGTGTAAATATTTTTATACAATAGAAAATGAAACAAAACAATATTAATAACTAGTTTATGATGATAACATTGTGTGTTAATCCAAACACAGCTATCTTTAAATCTCAAGACACTGACTGAGTATACTATATATGTATGTATGTAATAAAATTAATTTATTTTGCTTTGATTATAAATAAACATATTTTATAAATAAATTTAATAAACGTAACTTATTAAATATTTAATGTATATAATTAATTAATGAAAAAATGAAAATAATAAATGATATTGTGTATAAAAGGTTTTTCTTTTCATTTCTCTTGTTTTAGGTTTCATCTGTTGGGAAAATATAAGTAGCCATGAGTTATTTCAAGTCATAAGCTATTTCTTACCCAAATTTCAACCATTTTCGTATGAAGGAGTAACAAACAAAATAAAATGTGTGTGTGTAGATACTTAGGTACACACGTAAGAAGTTACACTTCTTTGGCGTAACAGAACAAAAATAGCTAAAGATTTCATCCCGTATGTGACAGCTCTGTTTGTAAAAGGAATGCAGCTAACTTCATCATGTCGCTTTTTGGCTGTCGGTGTGCGCGCGCATCGTAAAAATTTTACTGTTACATTTTTTCCAAACGTGTCAAAAGAAGTATAAGTTCATAATACTTAGATTTACGCGAATATTGAATATTTTAAATAAAACTATCTTTTCGGATTTTTTCGCGGATTTATTTAGATTTTTTGTTCTCTCGTGACTATGATTGCTGTATAGTATTCGAAACGTCGGGAACCAAAAATTTAAATAAATCCGCGAAAAAATCCGAAAAGATAGTTTTATTTACACACACACAGAACATTTCTGCAGATTAACCGTCTTTTCAGATTACTTTTCTTAGTCTGATATTTGAAATTCCCTAACTTAGTTAATCCTTGTTTAAGTATTATCAAGTAGATAATATGTTCTACGTGGATCACGGTTGCAAATATAGATAATTGTATTTTTAATATAACATCATTAAAATGTAAAAAATTACAAATACAAGCATTTTCAGTTAGAGTTATCTTCCAAGACTTGTTGTAAACAATTAAGTACTTTATTTGTAGGATGCTTATTAAATCAAGTTTCAAGAACATTAATAAACATCAGAAAATGTCGAACAGGTAGACTTTATAAGTAATTTAAGTTGCTGAGTCGTTAAATGTATGTATATTATTTCTTTTTGTACTGCTCTATAAAACGAAATGTTAAGGTTTGCAATGTGCGACCTTGAGCAAGCTTTCGCTCCTTGCCGGACAACTGGTCGAGTTTCTATTCTAGCTTTATATTGAGTTGACGCAACATTTTATACAATAATATTAATAAATTCTTTAATATAATTAATAAATAGATTATTTTCATTGTTGACATATTGATATTTACGTGCCAGATATACAGACAAATTTCAATCAAGGCGTGATCGTAAGATTAAAAAAAATATTTTTTGGTTTATAATACTTTTACATGAGAAAAAGACAAACCTGTTTTAGGTTATTGTTTTGTTTAATTTCCTACAACGATTTCATAATAGGAGCAAGGATCTTTTAGATTATTTGGGATTCTTAAAGGATTTAACAAAAATAATAATAATCGTATTTCACAAGAATTAACAGCTCTTTGTATATTTGTAACAGCTACAGCAATGGGTAAAATTTATGCCTTATGGTATGAGAAATACGTACGCCTTGTATGGATATTGCATTAACCATTGTTTACTATGTCATTAATACTCAACAGACGGAGGCAAAAAAATTTACTGTAGGCTTTAAATTACCTTCTTTATGGGTAAAAAAATCCCATAATCTTATGCGCTTCGACGCTTGAAGGCGTAAATTTATTCTTTCAAACTTACTTTATTTAATGTGAACTTAATCGTATAAGAAGAAGAAAAGGAAATAGATAAATAAAAAATTTATTAAACTTTACGTCCAAATAAAATTTTGCGAGTAGCTTACTCTAATAATTAAATAAGATTAACTGTTGCGTATCTTGACTGAGGCCGAGATGGTGTTCGACTCGGTCCTTGTTGATAGTCGGTTACCAACCGTGGGCTAAGGGCGCGGCCAATACGGGACCGTGGGCGGCAACAATCGGTGCGTGAGCCGCAACAGCCACAGCAGGAGTAGCAATCTGTATAAAGTATTAAATAGCTTAAAAAATAACATAAATATTTTGTCTAATGACTGCACAAGTTTAAATAAGAATCATTACATTTTTTAGTATTTTCTATGACTTAGACATGTATGTACTCGTATATATCACTTAGCTGCTGATGTATATTTTTTTTAATAAATTAAGCTTAAGTTATAGAAAGCCAATGTTTGTTTTTAGTTAACTAGATTGATTACAGTATCTATATTTTTACCCTGACAGTGTTAGCGTATGAAGTGGCTACAGGGACGGCCTGCTTTATGATGGGAGCGCTGACGATGGGTGCGCTGACCACGGCCGGTGCACCGACGAGGCCATGGCCCCAGGGAGAAGCAAGAGGTGCGACCAAACCAGGAGCTGCAGCAACGACGGCCAAGAGGGTGGTGAAGACGACCTACGTAAATGTTAACGAACAATTCCTTATTTAAAGCCTTACAAATACATATTATATAATGCTGAGTGTTGAAGTCAATGCTAATTAATATTATTATTAGTATAACTAGCGTAGTTGGAAGCTACAGATTCAGAGATACTAAGTTTGAGTCCTGGGTCGGGATTTTCCAAGATTAGTATTGAGGGAAGTTGGTGGTGTTACTACCTTGGAGAGCACATAAAGCCGTTGGTCCTGTCCTTTTTTTCGCATTATTCCACGCAAAATGTGGTCGCTAATTTCCCACGCTCAGGCATAAGCATCGTAGCCAAGCGGCCAAGGCGCAAGATTGACAATCATCGAATCCCGGTCGGATACAAAGTTTTTACTTTTTTTTGTATTTATTCAAGTTTTTAGTTTTTTTTTATCTAAAAAATACGATATAACAAAAAAGAACTTCGAACGAAGGTCGCTCGCTCAGGTACATATTATTAAGATTGTTAAAAAAAGTCTCGTATAATATTAATCGAATAATAATTAAGCAAGTATGGCATTTAATAAAATTTTGTCACACTATGTCCTTTAATGTGAATGCATTTAGATTATAATAGGTAAGTAGATCAACGCGACATTTTTCAATTATAAAATTATGAAGTACGACTTGTTTTATTAAATGCTAGCCGTTATCTGTAGCGTGAAGTCCATTTAGTATTTAAATTTTTAAATGAAATATTATAATCGATGTATGTATCAGGTATATGATATTATATCCTGTAATCAGTTACCGACCTTATCTTTGCATTTCCTTTGCATAGTCGTAAAAAAACAAAGTATGCATTGATTTGGGAAAAATATGCAAAAGATTTTGACTTGCTCAAGACTTAAACAAGAATATGGAGTCAGTGAGATAAGTGAAATCATTCGTAAGAAAAAGGGAAACCTTTGTTTTTGTACCATCTTAAAGGCTAAGTGGTGTAGGTTTATCGATCTAAATATAATATCACTTCCTTTCTAACAAGGTCGTCAAGGACAATCACGACCCTGTCGCATGAGCAACTAATCAAATATGGCAATATTAAAACGATATTCTAAGCTCTAGACTAAACTTTAATAAGCATTTGTTGCAATATTATTTAGTTCTAATACATTTTACGAAATATTATTAATATATAAAATATCTAGTATCTAATAATATTAGTATCTATAAAATTGGTGCGAACGCCTCGCAATGTATTATTTTTAGACTGCGTCCATTTCACACGACACGATTTCAGCTTTGCGTGGAGTATGCAGAACAAAGAGTAAATTAAAATTAATCTATACTATTATAGTAAGCAGTAACTTAGAGAAATATGAAACATTTTTACATGAAATATTTTTTAAAAACAATTACTAACGTATATTGTAGACAATATAGACCCCAAAACAATACTTATTAAATTTTTCGTGTGTTTCCCTGTATGTCTCTTTGTGTGTGCGCGTTTCACGCAAAAAGTAATGAACCGATTATAACAAAATTTGGTGAAGTGATAAATTATCACTCGGGTCAACATTTAGGTTATCTTTTACTTCAGGAAAATCTTTCTTTTCCACGGGAAAATATAATAACTGGTTTTATCGAGTCGTGCAAAGTCCAAAATCGTCTTAAAAACCTTCCGTTAAACTTTAAGGCATACATCAAAACAATGTAGTAGAAACTTGTAGATCTTGAAAAAAACCCAGCTTTATAAAATATCTATATTAATATTAAATGCGAAAGTAACTCTGTCTGTCTGTCTGTCCGTCGACTTTTCACGCTTAATCCGCTGAACCGATTTAAATGACATTTGGTATGGAAATAGTTTGAGACTCTGGGAATGACATAGGATAGTTTTCATCCCGGAAAACATATCATATATAAGGATGAAAAGGGGAGTGGAAGATTGAATCGGGAATCAATCATTTCTCTAGTAAGGGATACAATTTTTTTTTATTGTATACATTGTACATAATGGGACGAAACCGAGCGAAGCGAGGATGAGTCGCTAGTAATACTTATAATAAATAAAAAATGACTTTTATTATTAATTTCCTTTTTATGCTGCTAACAAATTGAAATGAAAACTTCTTTAGCCACGTTGAGCAATTTTGATACGTACAAAAGTTATGGATTCGCATCACCGACATGCTACGTATGACGTGTCCACGCAGTCTGGCGCAGACTAGCGACGCTCTACGTCATATTTTGATTAAATAAATAAAGTACTTATATCAAAATGTAAATAATTATTGCTCGGAGTGCCAATGGATGTGAAAACCAAACTGTGAAATTTTAATTATTCATACTATAATTAAAAAAAACACAAGTTATAAGTTTTCACTTCTGTCAGCAGTCCCCATGAATGCCTATTTCAATTTTTAATTCATAATAGGAATATTGCATACGACAATAAAAAACAGTGTTAGAGCAGAGTCCTTGCTATAATTCCATACGGACATGACTTGTAATTATTATTATATTATATATAATTAAATAAAAATGTAATTTCAGTGTATTTTATTTTGCAACTGAAAAAGAATAATATAAAAAAATATTAAATTTTAATGTAAATAGAGAGCATAATGTAAATATTGAACAAACTAAAAATTTCCATTTCACTTATTTCTTCACAGAAAGGAACAACAATTTCATTATAAATTGCAAACAATAAACATGATTATAAAAACTGAAATACTGATTAAACTATTAAAGCACTTTAAATGAATACCATGTCTTTATTTGAAGTATATAATTACATACACGTATACTATTAAAATAACTGTAAGAGCTGCATGAATGATATATTGATTATTATAAGACCAATATATCAGTTTTCCTTTCTATAATTATTATTGACATTTAATGGACTATATATTCAAACGAATTAAATAAAAACAATAATCTTAATATTCTAAATAGAAACGGCGCTCACAAAAAGTATCTATTTACGTGGTACACGTTGTTTAAAAAAAGTATAACTTTTTGTACCGCCCCGTGACGGCCTCGGTAGGTCGTTGCCGCAGTGAGAATGTCAAGTTCAACACCGACACGGTAAAAACTCGGACCAATTTTACAAACACTGCATCGGTCACTTTCACCGAGGAAGACTCTAAACTTTAATATTATTTATGTTTGTTGGATATATTTAAAAATAATCCTTTAAAAAAAAGTTCTACAAATGTGACATTTAGATGTAAATACGACTAGGTAGATAAAATAATGTAAAATTAAGATTTAATTTAGTCTAAGTTCACGTTTTGATAATAAGAATCATGGTAAATTAATATTATGAAAGTATGGAAAGTATTATTTCTTTATATGTTAGGACAAACACACAGCACCATCTAACTCCATGGTAAAGTACAAGGCCTGTGTTATGGATACCAGATAGGTAATAAACTACACAGTATAACTTTAAATACATACATATTATAAATATAAACATCCATGACTGAAGTACAAACGTTTGTGCTCATCACACAAATGAATGCCCCCAACGGGACTCGAACCCACGACCGCTGGCACAGCAAGTAGGGTCACTACAAACTGAGCCAAACGTGTCGTCAATTGATTTAAATTTACTTACATTATTAAAATATGTATATTAAATTTCTTACCAGCTTGTACATTTTGATGGAGGGTAAGTTACAGGATTGTTAGATACGATAGAGGGTGTTGATACGAATGTGTTTAGGGTCTAGCCCTACGGAGCTTTTATATACTACTTTAAGACATAGCTTGGCCAAATCTGTCCAATCCAAACGCCAGCTGGGCTTAGGTCATCTAAATCAGTTACAATCTGATATGTTTGTACAGTCAGAAGCAATTATTATATTAAATTTTATTTAAAAGAATAGGTACGTAATAAAATGTCTTTCTTTCTATTAATAAAAATTGTTTGAATCAATTAACGGTAAAATATTAAATTAAAAGTAGAATTTTCAATTTAATAAATGCTACCTCAACAATAAATATTAATATGTTATTCGGAAGATACATTTTTAGCATGTCAAGGAATCACGTAAATCGGTCATTACTTCTTAGTTATACAAAAGTAACTTTGTCTATAAATTTTCACGAGAAATAAATCTAAATTTTGAATTAGAAATAAAAGAGTCTAATAATATTGAAATATAGCTTTACGCTTTTTTAATGAATATAATGCTATAAATTTGTGCTTTACCCATAATAGGTTATGAAACTCCACCTAGCATTGGTAGTGGAATTCGTTTCACAATATTTAGTATTTACCTGCGCCTTTCAAAATAATTTGGATAGCGTATTGTAACAGTTATTAGTTTCCTGCATAAATAATATTTGTTATAACATAAATGTAACAATGTCTACTTATTTCATCATTGTCATTCGAATGTGATCGTAAGTCAAGGTAATACTTAGAGTTGATTTTTTTTTATTTTGTGTAGTACGTAAGTTAATATTTTAGAGGGTGTTAGGATCAGTTTTGGTTAATTAATAATTACTATTATTTTACGCAACGGTTAACAATTTATTATTGTTTCTTCAGGCGATCTTTAAGTAACATTTTCAATTTGTAACATTAACAATATAAATTAAATATCATATTTGGACATATACTACATACCATAACAAATGTATGAATTCAAATTAATGAAAAAAATATCAAAAAATGAATTAAAATAATATTAGTTAACCAAAACTGATCCTAACATCCTCTGAAATATTGACTTAAGAATATAGCAGGATCTGACAAGAATCATAATTTGTTTAGTACGTTTCCGAATATGAAGTGTTAATCCAGGATACAAGCTTTTAGTGACGTTACCATCTTTTTGGCCAAAAAAGCCAGTATTTTTTTTAAATTTAATTTAACAAATTTTAGTGACTTTAACAGTTTTTAGACGCGGTAAACAAACCATAAAAAGTAAAAACGCCATATACTACGCATGACAAACCCATAATCTACACCGTAGACCCGTATAGCAGATTTTTCAATAATCAGTAAAATTATGTAAATTTATTTTCATTTTCCTTCATTTAGGCTATTTTTTAAAACCATAATATAGGTTTTTGTTAGCTAATTTTTATCTTTTATTAACACAAACAAAAAAATTGATGCATATAATGCCATCTATTGACACATTTTTGAACTATTTTTTTTGTTCCTGATGACACCTCATGTATGGGTGAATAATTCCTGGACGTAATTACCTGTACGTGTACGCTAGTGTGTTGCACACTGCGGCATGTCATAATTATAATTCATTATTATTTGAATTTAATTTCGTTATTTTTTACTTTTAACACCTTCAGGTAAATTTCTAAGAATTTAATTAAATTTCTAAGAAATCTATTATTAACTGTAACCACGCCGGCGTATCCGCCATCGTTGAGGGATTAACCAAGTAGAAGAATTCGCCTTGAATAAGGCATATCATTTTCAAGATATATAGAGATTTACAAAGTTGTAGATTACCTATAATATTTTAGCAGAATTAAGTCAAAGAAATACTCGCAAAAATTTGATAGATTTTATTAAAATATTGTTAGTTCTCTTGCTAACAGTACTTGAAATACTTGGTTGTTAACTAAACTTATTTTTAATTCCAGACATTCTAAACGCACAACAACTACAACAAGTAAGAATAGTTTTGATATTTAGTTTTCTAAATCTGATTCGAAATTTAATCATATAATCACTATAATTGAATAAAATTATTTACTGAACATAAATAAGGCTTCCACCAGTTCAATGCCACCAACGAAGAATACACAGAAATGAAAAGGATTAGTAAATAAATTCAGGTAGAGTATAAATATCACATTACCAATTACATTATTCGGCTATCACATCATTCTCACAAGTTATTATTTATTAAAATTATAATGTTCATATCTCGTTATTTTCTATTAAATCATTTAAAATAATATTCTACAACTACGTGTGTTTTAAACTTGATGAATTTTGTCTTTTTACTATTTTATTTATAAACTAGCGCCTAACCTTCGCTTCGCTTGGATTCATGCGTCCGTTAGCTAAGGTAAGGGTACGTTTTAAATTGATAAAAATAGTTATTGTGAGCGTACCTTAGGAGGTAAACCCTGCTATTACGACCTTTTCTATGCCTTTTATGACCTAAAATTTTCTAGTACATTGTTTGCATATGTCTAGTAAGGTTTAGCCAGCGTTAGCAATGTAGACGCCCAAAAAATATGTTTCATATGACATAATTATAAATCTTTGAAATTCGTGGCTTTTTTCTACTATAACATGCATATATTATACATATAAATCTTACGGAAAAAAATATCTACATGATAGTGGAAGCCGTATAAAAATCTGTGGCGTAGTTTAGAAGAATTTTATATAGTCTAAACGTATTGCAGTCATGAACCACATTTAGAATTACTAAAATTCCACCGACTCCTGTCGAAGAATATTCTAGGGGAAAAAACAAAAAAAAACACTTTTATTGATAATTTACTCACACTTAATTAAATATTATCAAAATATAAACTTTAGAATGTTAATTAGTTTTTAAAATACAAGCGGGACAGTAAATACATGAGGGATTGCATCTACACTGTAGGTGCAGTACCTCCACGCCTTGCTCTGCTCAACAATAACCAGCGAGAGTGATAGATGAAACAAACGATGAGTTAGTTTACTCCACATTTTTTTAATTAATGTTAAGAGCTAATTGAGCTGCTGCGGACCCCTGGCACACATATTACGGACCCCCCGGGGGTCCGTCGACCCCACTTTAAGAAACCCTGGACTCTATCTATTCCATACTAACCGTTAAAGGTACAGTTCCGAGCCAAGCGACACTGACGCTGCGTCAGCGCGTTAGTAGACGCTGCGGCTCTGTCGCAGCGTCTCTGACGCTCTGTTGAATTCCGAGGGCGGTAACAGTATCACTGCGGCCTCCAGTCAATTTGCGACCAGTGACCTAGACAGTCGAATTTTCTTATGTTTACTGAATACATACGGTGAAACGATTATGAATCAAGCTATTGTGAAAGATTTGCAAAAACTATTTGAAGAAGAGGAAGAAGATGATGATCTCTTGCTTTTGTATTTACTGAGTACTAGAGATCGAACTGACCCGATTTATGAAACCCGCAGCGATCAGGGTCTTTATAAAATCTTAATACAAGAACATTTAAATTATAATGATGATAAATTTCGAGAATATAGTCGTTTTAACAAAAGACAATTTAATTTCATTTTGTCTCTAGTTTATGAAGAATTGACACCAAAAACTACCAGACATTGTATAGGTCCTGAAGAGAAACTATTTTTAACATTGAGGTAAGTAATTGTTTATTAATTTATTAAATATTTTTTTAAAGCTAATCGTATGTTCCGTCATCTTCTGTAATAATACGTATTAAACTTAAGTCCGTAGCTTCCATGTCCATGTCCACTGCTTGTGATATAGGCGAGTACGCCCGGAAGTTATATGTGGACAGCGTATTTTGATTTGTACGCAGAACGGAATCGGCTGATAGTTCGGGTGAATTAAGTTTAGCAGGCAGCATAGGTGTAGATGCTTCAACGTTCAACGATTCATATTCATACTTCACGAGGACGTCAAAAATTTCTTTTTTTGCCTTTACTTTCAAAGTGGACGGTAATTTTTGTAAAACATTTTCAACGTAGTCTGAAAACATAGCTAGTTCTGGGTCCTCAACATTTCTATTAGCTATAGTCTCTAAAGCTTTTTGGCGCGTTTCTTCTCTTTTCTGCAGAAAAGATATGATCTCATCTTTATTTTGACGCATCCGTTTTCTATTGGATCTTGGAAATACTGGGTTTGGGGCCGAAAATGTTCCCGAAGTTATTTCTTCATTGACGGTTTCAAGTTCAACTATATTTCTAGTTTCTCCTGCTGATGATACAGAACTTAACTGCTCACAAGCTTGGTCAGAAGTTTGACTCTCTTGTGTAGAATCCGTATCTTCAATATTAGATTCTGTTGAACGTTCGTTTGGCACTAACTGTAGAAACGTAAGCAGGTGATCATAGGTTCCAAACTTAGATCTACGATTTTTAGGCGCTGCGGACCCAGTTCCAGACTTGTTCTTTCGTTTCTGGCGAAAATATGTGTCCTTTATGTTTTCCATCTCTTTTTACAGTTATCACCTGCAAATAATAATAAATAACATGAATCTAAAATAACGTCTTTATTTTTAGGTTCATCGCGACCGGAGAGAGTTTTGCGTCGCTGTCATTTGTATGCCGAATATCGAAATCTTATATATCAAGAGTAATAAGAAACGTTATGAAAGTATTAAAACAAAAGCTTATGCCAGTAGCGATGTCACCTCCTACAAAAAATGATTTTTAAAGAATAGAAAAAGATTTTTGGAAAAAATGGAATATGCCAAACTGCATATCTAGCATAGATGGAAAGCATGTTCGCATCAGAGCTCCACCTAATAGTGGTTCTCTTTATTTTAACTACAAGGACTATTTTTCTGTTGTTATGTTGGCTTTAGTGGACGCTAACTATAAGTTTGTGGCTGTAGACGTTGGGTCATATGGCAAAGAAGGCGATAGTAATATATTCAGAAAGTCGGCAATAGGAAAAAAAAATCGCAAGCAATGACTTTAACATTCCGGAAGCAAAACCTCTCCCGCAATCGAATGTCAGTTTACCACATTTTATAATAGGGGATGAGAGTTTTCCTCTCAGTTCATACATGATGAAACCGTTTTCGAGAAGAACTGGACTTGATCACCAAAAGGAGATTTTTAACTACAGATTGTGTCGTGCGCGTCGTGTAGCGGAAAATGCCTTTGGACTGCTGAGTCAAGTATTCAGAGTATTTTATACTCCTATAGCTGTTCTACCGAGTACCTGCACTGATTTAATTCTAGTTGCATGTTGTTTACACAATCTGTTAAGAGATGCGTATTTAGAAGAAAATAGCCGACCACATTACGTCCGCGATGAAAACGAGAATCCTACAGATAATATGATACCTTTGAACCGTACAATTTGAACCGTACAAGGGGACAAGCAAATGATGGTATACATATCAGAGAGCAATTAAAACTCTATTTTAGCTCAGAAATTCGTCAAGTAGCCTGGTAAAATAACTAGGTATTATTAAATAAAAATTATTTAAAGATACTCGCCTTTTTTATTTAACACCCTCCCAATTTCATCCCAAACTCTGTCCTTTTTTTTCGAATTTTTGTACTCTTCAACACTTAAATGAAATAATAGTGGATGTTGAGACACTAAATCTATAAGCAGCTCATCATCTTCTTCAGTAAAAGCCTCCGTTTTCAAAGGAATTCCTCTATAACCTAAAAATTACCACGTGTTGACCGTGCGATCGGCGCGACACTGCGAGGGGAAGCGCGGCTCGGCCGCTGACGCCTTGCGACAGTAGCGCCGCGGCAGTGACGCCGCGTCAAGTATCGCCGTGTTCGTACACGCCGTCATGTATTTATATAGAACCTTGTACTATCGCTCTGTCGTGGCGATACTAACGCGGCGTTAGTGGCGTCAGTGTCGCTTGGCTCGGAACTGTACCTTAAAGCGTACTTAAGGACGAACCCGAGCGAAGAGGTGAGTCGGCTAATTCTGTATAAATATTTTAATAGTAATTTAGAACCTACCGATAAACCTGTAAGAAATCACCTTATTTCGATTCTAATATTTGTTCAAATATCAGTAATAGTTCAAGTTCGGTCAATCCAACTACATGATATCTTATTTCTATGGGTAAATGAATTAAAATTTATTTCTCTTTACCTTCATGAAAATTGCTTACTTGTAATATATGACACTTCTAGACCAATATTAAGCAAGCTTGATTTGTAACAGAGTACTTGCATATAGAGCAAAAAAGCACATGAACTTTTGTTTATTATTGAAATAATAATTATTTTTTATGATGATTTTTCAATTAAGAAAATGCCGTTGTTTGGTACATATGGTAACAGTTAAAATATTGTTTATTCAGATGGGATTTAAGAAAAATATCAGTGTTAGGATGTTTGTTGTTTAGAGAAATTGTTGCATAAACTATCTTCAGAACAGGCCTGGGAAAACCAATTAGGTATAAAATTACATCAAAAAGTTAAATCGGATTGGGGACCTCTGATATTAAAATATCAATGCTCCCACTCTACCACTGTTGGACTCAGTGGTAGCCTAGTGGTAACGCGCTCGTTTTGAAAACTGATTGAAGCGAGTTCAAATTCTGGGTCATGCACCTCTGATATTTTCATGTGCGAATCATTTCTAACACAATTACCAATTGTAATACAGTGAAGGAAAACATCGTGAGGAAACCTGCATGTCTGAGAGAATCTAACAAGTTTTCGAAAAACAAGTGAAGTCCTACAACTCGCACTTGGCCAGCGTGATTAACTATAGCTTGATCCCCTTCGTATTGATGGGATGACTTTGACTAGCAGTGGGACATTAAAAAGGGCTGAACATAATACGTCATAAACTCTACCATAGTCTAGTAGTCGTTCTATTTTACAGATATTCTACATTATTATGAAAAAAAATTCAAGTGCGAGTCGTAATCGCACACTAACGGGTCCGTAATTTAATATAAAATATAGTAATATTTTTAAGTTACGTTTCATCTAATAAAATGAAAAATATTGAATAAATCTAGTGTATATCTTACCGCAAACACAAACTAATATAGAAATAAAGCTGTTTCTTTTAGTTGCATTAATATAGATAAGTATAAATATTAATTACCAATATAGGTACTTAAATTTTCTATTCTTTACACAGAAATCCCCTATTTCATAACAGTTGGGTGTCGTTTTTGCCGATAGAGTTACGGCACCCTAATGAATGAAAATGAATTGAAAATAAAAAGATGTATTTATATCAAATATGGCATCATAAGTAAATTCTACATTATTTATATAATGGTCAAGTGGTCAATTGTAGTCTGTGACAGAAAATCAGCATGTGCTAAACGAGGACAGGGCGTTTCAATGACACTAATCTACGGTCAGCTGACTTGTTATAATTTCATATCACGTTATAGGCATACATTGACTCACTTTTAGACATAAATCAGTTAAACTATTAATGATTGTAAAGTTTATTGCTATTTTTGATTTTTTCGTTCGTTGATAAAATGGTTTAAAATGGTACAATAGAGTTATAATAATAATAATTTATTTGCAATAAAATAATTTATAAGGAATTACTTTTTATTATTATAACAAAATACATACATATATACATTTAATATAACACAGCATTTTTGAGCAAGTCACCGGGCAATGATAACGCCGAAATTTCTTATAGAATGTAAGGTGCGGAAAGGTATCTAGCATAGGGGGATGGGGCGGCTACATAGGGAGCGGCAGCGTAGTAAGGGGCGGACAAAACGGGAGCGGCTACTGCGTGGTTGACTGCGTGTGCAGAATAAGAGCTGGCATAAGGAGCCACGGCATAAGCCGCAGGTACCGCAGCCGGAGCAACCAACGCAGCAGGAGCCGCAGCTAGTGGTAACACTCCAGCATTTGTTACAGCAATGGCGAGGGCGAAGATAACCTGCAAAATATAGTCACTTTAGTAAATATTAAAATTTGATGATTCTAAGAAACTATAAAATATTATGTCTTATCAGAATTGAAATTTTCAAAGTATTTTATAAAAGCTTTTTTATAATTTTTTATTTACTTACAGTAAATTTGGCGATCATTTTGCTTGATTTGGTGACTTCTCACAAGTGATTATACGAAAGAATTCGATAGAGTGTACTGATTGCAGGTTACCATCCCGTTATATACCAAGTGCCCATATCATTGGGCAATGACACGTACATCGCATACGTAGTCAGCTAATGTGTAGGATATCGCGGTTGGCACCACGATTTTTGACCCAGACTCAGTTGACGAGTAATGCATTCTAATTTTAACTTTGTGCACATCAATTTCACTGTATGTTATATAATGTAAAGGCCGAAAGGGAAAAGTATTTGATGTATACATACATAATACGTCACCTACGCTGGAGTTCAATTAATATGGTATTATCGAATTTAACATGATTACAGCGGTAAAATTCTTCAAAGTTTAACTTAAAAGTTTATAAAAAATAAATAAAATTCAAGTTCCAAACACTAAAAAGTAAAAAATATCTGAATGGGAGTTTTAATTTACTATAGATAACTAATCAAATATTTTCAAAGTCGGTGCCAGTGACCTATAGTAAATAAAAACGCCCGTTCAGTTATTTTTTACTTTTTAGTATCTGAAAGTCGGTTTTTATTAAAAAAAAATAAGTTTTTATTATTCCATTATTAGTGTAGACCTAGTGTAGTAGTAGTTGTAAATTGGATGAAGAAAGTATTTTAATAAAATATTCGCTTAAGCTATTTAAATTAGCTTGATGCCAATTTATATATTATGAAGACTAACATTCGCTAACTAAAATTCGCTTTTACTACTAACACTAAAAATCAGGCCCTAAAATCCAATTCTAACTTATTGGGCTTATCAAATCAAACCAAATAAGCTCAAACTCAAAGTATAGACTACTAATAGCCGTTAGAGTTCACTATCCACTATCATCGGATATACAAACACTTGCAAAGTTTAAAGTCAATATGACAATAAAAAGTACGTAAAAAAAATGGCGAATATTAAGAATTGTAATACGTCGACGGTCATAAAATGCATTCGCACAAATTTCACAACAAAAAAGTTTCCCAATGTGATCCATTTCTCCACGCGAGCCACTGCGAATCCCAATTGACCGACCGCAATCCGTCAAATGTTTATTTTACCATACGTTTTCTGAATTACAATAAACAAAGTATAAAAGGCATTAAGTTTTTGGTGTTAGGCACAGTTCACATCCTTTTTTCAACAAGGAAGGTCTTACTTAAAATAAACAAAATGTTTTCCTTCAAATCTGTAAGCATCTTTACTTCTTTATGAGCTCATTTATATTAATTAATGACATTCACAATTTCTAATTAATATTATGTTCACAGATCGTCCTCATTGCCGCAGCTTTCGCCATAGAAGCAGAATGCAGTGCATCAGTAGCTGCAGCCTTGATTGCACCAGCGCATGTGGGATACGCTCATGCTGTACCACAGAATATTCCACCATACGCATCACAGGTTAATGTAGAAACTAGAAGTGCCCTCGTTGCTGCGCCTCCAGTAGCTGCATATACTGCCCCTCTGGCAGCACCTTTTACTGCTAGATTTGCACCTGTTCCTGCCGCTTATTCTGCTGCATCATATATCGCTTCCGCCCCAGTCCTTCCAGCGGCATACGCTGCCTCTACTTACGCTGTTCCTGCACCTTTCGCTCCTCACGCTGCCTACGCTGCAGCTTATCCTTATGCTGCATCTTACCCTCTACTCCGTGCTCCTTATGGCGTTGCGCCGGCGTTTGTCCGATAGATTTTAAGATAAAACAGTTGACCTTCCTTCAAAAAGACTTGTTATTAGATATTTTTTTTATAATTGTTTACATTATTTTGTTAATATGTAATGTTTACAAAATAAATATATTTTTTACAAAACAATTTAGTGTTTTTATTTTCAACTACACATTCGTTACGAATTATAATTATTTCTTTTAATAATAATAATAAATTATAATACGATATAGTATAAATTACTTCAATTCGTGTAAGCTATAATATCATCCTAAGAAATAATGAATTTTAACAAAATGATTAATTATAAGTCATTACTTGCATCTCCGCCCGCGGCCCGCGCAAATATTATATATTTATATGATGCGTGATTAAAGAAACACAATCGATCAAGAAACTGCAATTGAAAAATAATTCAATCTAGCAGTGAACATGAATGACTCTCAATGCTTTTATTAGAATAATTTAAACCGATTCTTGTATTAGATTTATTCAACATCTTTAAATTTTAATTTTTCTATTTATTATAAAGAGAAAAAGGTGTTTTTTTTTGTATTTTTGTGTGTTATAGATAAACTAAAAATCCGCTGATCCCATTTCGATGAAATTGGTTGGTATGAAGATAGTTTGAGACCCTGGGAAGGACATGAGATAGTTTTTATCCCGGAAAAGATCCATGAAGGGGATGAAAAGTAAGAGGGGCGAACTGGTAGTAGACTCATGACGTTCAGTAAAAAAAATGTAATAATTTAATGCTGAATAAAATATTTTGAATTTGAATTTGATGAAAGTTTGTATGGGAAATCAATCATTTCTCAAGTAAAGGATAGGAGGAAGGAAGTCTATTATTTATTTCATACTAACCGCTAAATAATATAATACCAAATGTGGTAGCGTGAAGTGTATTTTACTGAAAACAGATTGCAACTTCATCATAAAATCTTACAATTAACATATAATAGTTATAAGACTTATTATACTAACTGTAGTAAATAGTATTAATTCGAAAAATTATGAATAAAAAAAAATGTAAAAAATAGGGATTTATTTGTACTCTGGCTATTTTTTATTTTTCATAATACGGTTTGAAAGCGTGCGCATTCCGTTATAATATTTTGCCTTATCTTTTCTAATAATACTGTTATCTATATCATTTAAGAAATGTAAATATTTGTTTGTGCAACACCGCAAATCTCCAGGACTTCTTACTGATTGCTTTGAAATTTCCCCCCAGAATTTTTTTAACATGGAAAAGGTTTTTGTCGGTGGTGAATACCTATTTTGCTGTAACCCACTACTAAATGGCGCTGCTGTGCATTAATTTCTAAGCCATTTAATTGATTATGGTACACGATATGGATACATGAGAACTGCGATTCCTTATTATATATTTCTTGAAGTATGTGTATGTATGTATGGATATATATATATATATATATATATATATATATATATATATATATATATATATGTAATATGTATGTAAGTATCTATGTAAACATGTACGTATGTATGTATGTTTGTATATAATATTTATATTATAATTGATGTTTGTAGTTTGTACCTACACCGCACCGCATTATTATTTTTATACTTTCTCACGCTTGAGGGTTTCTGGTAGAAATCTCTTAAAGAGATAAGTCATCCTTTAATATTGTTGATGATACTATATTTAAATATTATAACGTCTGTTACAATTTATAATCATACTAATAACGCCAATATAATTAATGCGAAGGTTTATGACTCTGAGTATTTTTTAATTTTTCACAGACTTCAGTCTGTTCAATACCTTACGGCTTATGCTGGATTGTAAATCTGGATTGTAATTGAAAAACTAATTTCATTAAAATGTACATGGTTAACACGTGAAATAAATGAAAGATAAAGTTACTTATTATCTTTATATTTTTTCATTAAGTATAAAAACATCTTAAAACTATAACAGTATAAAAAAGCCTCTACATTCAAGAAAGCAATAACATCTTATATCTAATTTTCAGGACTAGACATAACTATTTCCATGCCCAGGGATTTGCTACTGGAGCTGGGAAAGAGTATGCTTTTGCAAAGACTGGGGCTGTAGCTTGGACAACAGCAGGAGCTACTGGTCTCACAATAGGTGAAAATGGCACCGCTGATAGTGCTGGTATAGCTCTTGCGTACACGGGTGGTGGTGCTTGAGCGTATACTGGGGCTGGGGCTACGGGAGCTGGGTATGCTGCTGGCAGAAAAGGAGCTCTAAATATTGGTGCTGGAGCTACTGCTGGAGCCGGTGCTGCGTACACTGGACCTGGTGCTGGGAACACTGGAGCTGGTGCTGGGAACACTGGGGCCGGTACTGGGAACACAGGAGCTGGTGCTGCAAACACTGGCGCTGGCGCAGGATACACTGCTGCCCGAGCAGGAAATATAGGAGCTGGGGCCGGAAAAACAGGCGCTGGAGCAGGTAACACTGGAGCTGGAGCTACTGGTAACGCGGCTGGGGCAACAGCACGAATTACAGGGGATATTGCGTGTATAGAGCGCACTCCGTTAGGAAAACTGTAGAAAGGTGCATATCGAACCACAGATAGTGATTTTACTGCCGGTATGAGATGTCCAAGCCCACTAGCTTGACAGCTAGCTATGATGGCGGTGATGTAAATGACCTAAAAAAAATTTAACATTTAGATATCTTAAAAACAACCCTCAGTATTAAAATTTTATAATAAAAGGTCGTTATCACTTACTAATCTCAATAAAGACATATTTATGAATGTCACGACTTTGTTAGCCGAATAAAAATGTAGAAGTATATTAATGAATGTGTCACAGGACGTTATATACTTCATACTGTTGCAAACATTACGTCTATATTGGTCAGCTTCGGTTTCACTTTCCATCGTCAGGACATGTGCATGCTCAATTAGGTGTCAACGCGGACGTTATGGATTACCGAATGTGTCACACACTTGACCATCAAAGGACGCTTTATGTAATTCATGGAGGTCTCCAAATAGTATAACATTTTGTAATATACCTATAAATTATAAGTAAAATATTTACAGTTCTATAATTTCAGTTTTCAGTAGTTTACAAGATAAGTTGTATACTTTAGCAATTGCTGTTAACTATTTTTATAAAAAAAAATTGTCAGGTTCCAAAGTACGTATTTTCTATATGCATATGTATTTATTATAAATAACATAGAATTCACAAAATTGCACGAATAAAGTACAAGTTCTTGATCTATTTTTTTAATATGAAATTTTGCTATTTTAGTTATTCTCAGTGTATTTCACTCATATATGAATATTTAATATAGGATATTTGATTATGGTGTTTTGCCATTGTTTTTCCGAAATTCTACTATAGTAAATAACCAGATCACATGTACAATGTATATATATACTTAAAATACTTTTGATTTGTTTAAAATACTTACCTACTTTACTATACCTATGTAAGTACTAAGCGTTAAAACGTACCTAGGAACGAACCCGAGCAAAGCGAGGGTGAATCGCTAGTATCAATATAACGTTTCATATATGAAATCTGGATAATATTTTGATACCATTGAGTAGATCTAACGAAGGAGGCAGGTGGATCCGTATTTTTTGTCCGAATCAATTGAGTATCAAAATACAGGTTTTTAAGAGATAATTACAAAAAAATATACAACTTATATGTTTAAAAGCAATTCAGGAAAAGAAATTGTAAAACAAAACTAAAAACGTCTACCTGACCAAAACTAAAAAGCTGTAAATAAAAAAAAATACATAAATAAAACAACCCGACTACGTAAAAACGAACTAAAAAGATGCAATCAAACTGACGAAAGAACATACTATTATGCAGTCTGCAGAGACATACACACGCAGCTATTATAAAACATGTATGTACATATGTCTCCTACTGCATAATACTATGTTCCTTCGTCAACTTGTTGACATCATTTTAGTTCGTTTTTTACGTAGTCGGTTTTTTTATTTTTGTAATTACAAATAATCACTGCACTGAATGTAGACCACTTTCAGGTAATCCCTCAATTCTTTATTCTATAACACAGCCATTGCCAGCCTCTCAAGTTTATCTTATTACAAATCTCAAGGTCGCCTAAGGTAGCTCTGTCGTTAGAGCTTTAGAATTTTTACAAGTAATAAACATTTAAAAGACGACTATTTAAAAATTATGTTAATGTAATCATTGTACGCATTATTTACATTTTTAATTAATTATAAGCCATCAATCCCCATAGCAACTTTGTAAAGACTTTCAGTTACTAGTATCATTTAAGATGAAAGCTACAATTCCATACCTCAGAAATATTTACTTACATGTAATGAAATATTATAATAATCTCTTAATTTAAATATAATTGTGTTCACGATAGATCACAGCACAATTACTGGTTTTTAATAAAAAAATAGGTAGGAAGCTAATTTAGTAATATAAAGCAATATTTTATAATTTTTCATATATTTTTTCTATTTTTATATTTAGTTCAGGGACATATGTCACTAAATATCGAGCAAAGTACGCAGAAATTACCATGTTCGTGTTGAATTCATAATGTAGCACCGTGTGAGTGGGTTAACAATTTGTATTCAAAAGGAAAGATGCTATAAACAATACTGAGAACTCAAACGGATGCATATACTAACTATCAATATTAAAAAGATTGCCAATAATAACTTACACGGTAAATATATTATTAAAATGCGACACTTACAGTTATACTCTTACAACAAGTACTATTTTTGTTAATAGGTTATTACTTTCTGTTCTTCGCATTTTAACGATATCTAGGCTAGATATCGTCGTCTCAGTGCGTATCCAAACGATCAATTTACCAAAAGAGTTTTTAAAGCAGAATTATTCACTTTTAAATCATTTTTTTAAGTCAATTTTATTGGTATCTATTACCTACATATTTTACTTTAACAAGGACGAGAAAATGTGCTTTATATGTATGTACAATATAAATCTTAGAAATTTTTGTTTTGTTTTGTTTTAAAAATATAGGAAAGTTTTTGCTTTTTTTTTAAATAAAGGAAAATATTATCTCTCCACTGTAAAGTACAACAAGTATTGGTCGTTTGAAAAAAGCATTAATTAAGGCGACGAAATGTCACTATCGTCCAAGTCGTCCTTACCGATCTTTTTATATGCGTATTCCGCAGAAATCCGTTTTTCGCCTTTTCTTTGCCACATTTTTTGATAAGTACATAATATAGTGATTGTAAATACAAAAATAAAAGATATTATACAAATAACTAGATCTATTAGGTTGAAATTAGTTATTTGATTTTGACGCAAATTTTAAAATTCAGTAATAATGAAATGTTGTTTAGGTCACAATGAAAAATTACACATTTTAATTGAAAAAGAAAACGTAGAAAAGGTGTATTATAACTATCAAAGAAATATTACCTATACTAGATGTGATTTTATTTATTTTGATAGAAAAATATCAAGTCTTTTCATTTAAGAGCGACGATGGGTGCAGAGGCGAAATAAGAAGATGCAGCAGCTACGTAAGGAGAAGCCGCTACGTATGGAGAAGCAGCTACATAAGGCGCTGCAGCAGCCACGTATGATGCAGCGGGTGCCACGATCTTAGCCGTTGGAGCATAGTAGGGAGCTGCCACTGAGTAGGGAGCGGCGACCAAAGGCGCGGCCACTACTCCATTGTAGTTTCTGGAGATGTATTGAGAGCTTGAGGCAGTTACGTACGGAGCTGGGGCGGCAACTAGGGGAGCAGCTGCAGCAACCAGTGGGGCAGCCACGGATACACTGGGCTTGGCTACTGCTACAGCGATAGCGGCGAGGAAAACCATCTGTACATAAGATAATAGTTATAGATACATATACTCGTGTTCGATTTTTCAACATCATTGCCACTTGCTTTACGGTGAAGGAAAACATTATAAGGAAACATACATGTATAAAGAATTTAGCAAGATTTCCAAACATATTATACAAAGTCCGCCTACCCACACTTGGCTAGGGTGTGAACTATCCCCCCTAACGTGCGTTCACCTTGTCGTGGTGGTGGGGGGGGCTCAGTAGTGCCCGGCATTCCAGCCGGGCGCGAAGCCAAGAACGCACAGGGAGGTGGCCCACTTCGGTGGGCGGTGGGAGGTGGCCCTCTTCGGTTGGCGGTGTACCATGCGTTTGCTCCTGGTACTTCTCTGATAGCAGAGTGGTCCTTGGAGCCCCCACGGTAGTTGTGGTCTGCTTCGGCAGATCTGCCGTCGGAGCATCGTAGTTGAATTCGTAAGCGATCCTGCGACGCCCCATTAAGACGGGGGAAGGTTTTGTTGGGTTTTAGTGGGTAGTACTAGCTTTACCGGTGCGTCCGACACTTCGTGCGTAAATGCATTTCCCAACGTTAAAAAAAAAAAAGAGTGTAAACTATGACGTGTGGGAACACGCTTTGGGCCGCCCAGGCCCTGCAGGTAACGTGTAAACGTTAAAAAGGGCTGAATAATATAATAAAAAAAAGAAAATAGTATTTATTTAGTCCATTTCTTAAAAAAAAACAGTATCAGTAGACTAAAAAATAAGTTAGCACCTTTCCGAACATGTTGTTTATTTATTCTAGGTCGTTGAGCTGATCTGAAGATCTCGATGTAATGTATAAAGTTTGAAGACAATACATACCTTTTATACAAAGAGAGCCAGATTCACCTTGCAGGTTTCGTCACGTTACGGACTGAATTCGTCATTTGAGAACGCATTCAGGACACGTAAGAAGAGATGTGAACACTAATTTATGTAATTAATTCTAGAAATTCAACTGGCTTTATTTACTTTAAGAGTAGTAACTCTTAGCTTGTTACTTACAGGATAATTTAAAGAATTACAAGTGTGCGGTTATAAACTATTACTTACTTATTTAAATCCCTGCCCATTTCCCAATTATTTATTAACTAATCATTCGACGATATTTTAACTATACGTTTTACTATACAGGCAAAACTGTTCAGGCATATCCTATAGTGTATCCAAATGTTCTTCTGTTCATTGCGAAGAAGTATACATACTTATCTTATCTTTATGACAAAAATCCCATCGATTCTTTGTTCTTTTGCTTTTGTCAAAGAAAAACATATTTTAGTGTATTCTTAATGCCATTAAATTAAGTAGCGTTATGTCTTTAATTAAGAAAAACTTATGTAATAAGGGTTCAAAAAATGTATCACGTTACATATCTAAATAAAAAACATTTAGATATTCATTTATAATAATCTCGAAGGCGTAAATAAATTGAATTGTTCCCTTTGTTAAACGGTTTCCATACCATTACCAGAAAGTAAAAAAATTAAATAGTAAGGTAAGTTAAAAATATTGAGGTTTAAATACAAACTATTTGAAATAAGGTCAGATCGGCTAAATTTATCTTCCACGGTAATTAAAAATTAAAAAAAATATATTTAAATAGCAATTTAAAATTTCTTAACAATACTAAAATTCAAGTGATAAAAAATCGAAATATGTAAAAATAAAAATTATTTTAAGTGCCTTAAAAAAACTAAAAACTTGAAAAAATACTAAAAGAAACAAAAGTATAAAAAATAATTACTTATAAGTAAATATAATAGTATTCACCGGCGTGAACTGTAACAGCATAGCTTTTTCTTATGGATTTGAATAATTATTTATACATACATAAACTTAATTACTAAAATAACGTTCATAAATCCTTTTTTTTGTATATAACTCTAAATTCCAGGCATGCACAACATTTTATAATTGGGTAATACATACGCTCCACTTAAATGACAATAATATTAAAAAATTAAATAAAATGTAACACTAAATGATATCGATTTCTTTTAAAATTGTACATTGTATTTGAAAATATATCTATAACAGGATACTTGCGAGAGATTTCATTATAGTTTATTTAAATTTTATTTAAAGGTGAGTTTTGTCCGAATAAATATTTATCCGAATAAAGGCAGTGGTAGCCCAGTGGTAGCACGCTCGCTTGGGAAACCGAGTGAAGCGGGATCAAATCCCGGGTCTCGCACCTGATATTTTCATGTGCGAATCATTTCTAACATGATTACCACTTGCCTTAAAGTGAAGGAAAACATCGTGAGGAAACCTGCATGTCTGAGAGAACCTAGCAAGTTTTCGAAAGACATGTGAAGTCCGCCAACCCGCACTTGGCCAGCGTGGTGGACTATGGCCTGATCCCCCTCGTATTGAAGGGAGGCCCGTGCCCAGCAGTGGGACGTCAAAAAGGGCTGAATACATACATACATACATTTGTCCGAATCTATTTTGTATTAAATTAATATAAAAAGGTTGATAATTACTCAATCGTGCGGAAGAGCGAGCAACTTGTAGTCCTATCTTAGATATTATGTTAGGCGAGTCTACACAGTTATTCAATATTTTATAGAGAAACATTAATCCAAGAAGTTTTTGGCGCTTTAATAATGAGTCCATGTCAAAGAGATTTAGCCTACCCTCATACGTAATATGTTTTCTGTTTGGTACAGAATTCGTAGTGTAAACAAGTCTAGATGTAAACTTTCTTTGAATTTTTTCAATTCTTTCAATATGGTTTTGATAGTAGGGATACCAAATTACACAACAGTAATCTACATTTGTCATTTAAATTATTTATAGCGATTGCTATTTCTATTTTATATTAATACGCAAGAGGTTATTCTGCTATTAAAGTAACTAATATATTCTGGAAGCTGTACCTAGAAGTATGTTTAGAATAGGTCTTATTTTTTATTTCATGAATGCTGTAAATTTGTGTCTATTCGCTGATCCTTGATTCAATAGGGATACCTTTTTTTTAACTTTGGAAAATGTATTTACGCATATCACCTGCATGCATACAGGGGGCTATATGGGACTCACCGGCTAGAAAAGCCAGTACTACCCACTAAAACTCAACAGAACCTCCCTTGTCACTTAACCACGATGCCCCGACGGCAGCTGCAAGCAACCTGCGACAGACCACACAATCAAGGGGTTGGTCCCACTGTCCACTCTGCTGTCAGAAAAGTACCAGAAGCAACTCGCATGCAACACCACCCACCAAAATGGGTCACCTCTCTGTGTTTCTTGGCTAGAATGTTGGTAATCTTACGAGTTTCAATACTTCTTATACATTTAACTTTTTAGATTTTACACTAAACCTTAATTTATAATTTTAACAATAACAACGGAATAAGTATTTTTTACTATTCTAAGACGTAGCATTGTTTATATTGTTATAAGTAAATATATAATATGATAAGACTGAAAATAGGTAAAGTGTCCTCAGTAAAAAATAATATATCATGCTTATTTTGAAGTTCATGTAAAGGCCAAGTGTATACATATAAATGAGGTAGAAAAATAGTCCAGAAATAAACCCTTGTAGAACTCTCATAAATAATGGAGTTCCAGGGGTTCTTTTGTCATTTTCATTTACATTCCAGAGCCGTAATTCTAATGGCATAGTGATATAATTTACACATGATCTGTCTACCATGATCACCTATCTAGATACACTGTGATGATCAATTGCTAACATTACAATAATGATTTTTTTTTCACACTACCAAATGAATAGAGAGACTCAGGAAAAAAATAGTAATAAATGTAAATATTTTTAAAAAGTTAAACTTAATTTAAAATGAAATATGATACAAGTTGGAAATTCATATATTTCAATAAAAAAATTATTATATGTATTAATTTATTAACAGTTTTCTCATTTAAGGGCAACGAAGGGGGCAGAGGCGTAATAAGGAGATGCTACGTAAGGGGAAGCCGCTACGTATGGAGAAGCAGCTACATAAGGCGCTGCAGCAGCCACGTATGATGCAGCGGGTGCCACGATCTTAGCCGCTGGAGCATAGTAGGGGGCTGCCACTGAGTAGGGAGCGGCGACTAGAGGCGCGGCCACTACTCCATTGTAGTTTCTGGAGATGTATTGAGAGCTTGAGGCAGTTACGTACGGAGCTGGTGCGGCAACTAGGGGAGCAGCTACAGCAACCAGTGGGGCAGCCACGGATACACTGGGCTTGGCTACTGCTACGGCGATAGCGGCGAGAAAGACGATCTGTAAACCGCGGAGTGAAAGATTTTAGATATATTTCAATAAAGAAATTTTATAGCATAATTTCAATTGATCAGAATAATTTAATTAATGATTTATGAATATGGATATAAATAGTATATACCTTTCCGAACATGTTGATTGATTTGGATTGTTCTCTCGATCTAAAGATCTCAAAGCGATGTATAAAGTTTTGAGCCAATGCGTAGCTTTTATACAATGAGAATAAGATTCACCTTGTAAATTTCATCACTTATGTTACGGGCTCAACTCGTTAGTTCGGAACGCATTCGGGACGCGTGCTTGACGTACTCTATTACGACAGCGAGGCTATTCTGACTGATAACGCATAAATGAACGAGTTACACGATGTTTGAATGTCAGGTGCAAGTTATTGCGAAGATAAACATTAAATATGTATATCTCGCAATATTTTTCGAAAGATATGTGAAGTCCACCAACCTACACTTGGCCAGCGTGGCGGACTAAGGCCTCATCCCCCTCGCATTGAAGGGAGGCCCGTGCCCAGCAGTGGGACGTTAATATATTTTATTCATAAATCACTTGAGATCTCACTTTTATTATTTTTTCAGTTATTGGAAAAGTTTCATTTCAAAGCCTAAAAAAATAACAATTTTGAAGTTACCATAAATAAATATTTGATCATTTATTTTCGTAATATTACTTTGTCATATCTATATATCATGATATAATCATTAGCAATCTTTTTTGACTTCCAATTTAGTTCATAAAATACGAAAAACTCATGTGATACCTATTATGACAAGATGGCATCATGACAATTTTGAATTTCATTCTGTTTATGAAAATTCTATCTATTATAGTCACTTGTCTAATGTATTCCAAAACTATCGACCAACCTTCTCTTCGCTTCGGTACGTCCCTAGGTACGTTTTAACGGTTAGTATGGAATACATATACTACTAGAATAAAAACTTTTTAACAAAAAAATAAAAACCGACTTCAAACAAAAGCACTAAAAAGTAAAAAATAACTGATTGGTAGTTTTCATTTACTATACATACCTAATCAAATATTTTCGAAGTCGGTGTGCTTTGCTTTGTATGGGCTGGCACCGATTTCGAAAATATTTGATTAGGTATGTATTTAATAGGTAGGCTTTAATTACTTAGCCAAAGCACACCGACTTCGAAAATATTTGATTAGGTATGTATAGTAAATGAAAACTACCAATCAGTTATTTTTTACTTTTTAGTGCTTTTGTTTGAAGTCGGTTTTTATTTTTTTGTTAAAAAGTTTTTATTTTTCCCTTTTTAGTGTAGATAGTAGTAGCACAGTAAGAATTCTAACGTGTTAGGCTTGTCAAATCAAACAAAATAAGCCCAAACTCAAAGTATCTACTATTAGCCGTTGAAGAGTTCCACCTATCCACCTTCTGGCCTTGCCATCAGATCAGATCAACAACACCGAACCACTGTACTATCAACGGAAATAGAAATACTTGCAAAGTTTCAAGTCAATATGACAATTAGAAGTAGGTTAAATTCATCATTAGTTGTTTTTCCACCCTTAGGGGTGGTATTTTTTTTTGAAATTTAAATGGGACCAATCTGGAAGTATACCCTTTCAAACAAAACAAAAATTTTCCAAATCGGTTAATAAATGACGGAGTTCTGAGGTAACAAAGATAAAAAAAAAAAAAAAAAACATACAGTCGAATTGAGAACCTCCTCCTTTTTGAAGTCGGTTGAAAACACTAATAGAGATCTATTAATTCCCACGGGAACCGTTCATTTTCCGGGGATGAAAAGTAACCTGTTGTTTGACCGGCAATATAAGGTATGAGAATGATAAATTTTACTAAATTAGGTGCATAAGTTGTTGTGTACTAAGCTGTATAAGATACTATAGTTTTTTAACTATCCCACGGGAACTCTTTAATTTTCTGGGATGAAAAGTATCTAAGATATTGACCGGGGATATAAGGTACCACTATGCAAAAGTTCATTTAAATCGTTCCAACAGCTTCGGAAATTAGCCCGTACAAACATGCAAACACAAACTGGCAAACAGACATACAGGCAAACAGACAAAACTTTTAATAACTATTGTTTTGGGGTCTATATTGCGTACATAATACGTTACAAATAAACAAAAACAGATCTATCCCAGCGAAACCGTTTATTTTTCCGGGATGAAAGTAACCCGTTGTTTGACCGGTAATATAAGGTATCAACATGCCTTTTACTAAATCAGTTGCATAAGTTGTTGTGTACTAAGCTGTATAAGTTACTATAGTTTTTTTAACTAACCCACGGGAACTCTTTAATTTTCCGGAATGAAAAGTATCTTACATGTTGACCGTGGATATAAGGTACGACCATGCAAAATTTCATTTAAATCGGTCCATCGGTTCGGAGATGAGCCCGTACAAACAGACAAACAGACAGAGAAACAAAAAAAATGAAAAAAATCGGATGAAATTTTTTTTTCTATGTACAGACAGACATTCGACCTCTACAGTTTTATTGTATTTATAGATAGAATAAATAACGTATAATAAAACAGTAATATATAATAATGAAAAAAGTTATAGCGAGTGTACCTTAGGAGATAGACATATACTATTGACAACTTTTCTATCGACCTTTTTAAGACTAACAATTTTCTTGTACAATGTTTTGATCTATCTCTTAAGGTTGAGCCAGCGTTAGCCATAACTTTTTTGCTTTGTATGGGCTGGCACCGATTTCGAAAATATTTGATTAGGTATGTATAGTAAATGAAAAGTACCAATCAGTTATTTTTTACTTTTTAGTGTTTTTGTTTGAAGTCGGTTTTTATTTTTTTGTTATAAAGTTTTCATAATACTTTCTTAGATTAACGCGAATATTTTACATTTTGATATTGCAGAGGGCCATTTCTTACTAAGTCTTGAACTCTTTTCAACTAGTTTATTGATATTTTTTCGAATAAAATATTTCTTAAATAAAATCATAAGCTATACAAATAAGAGAAATCTCATAAAAATGCTGAATCTATGTAGTCTAGATATAAATAGTTTTAACAACATTTCCTTTCCTACTTTTAGACTTAGAGGATGCCAAGAAGGTATTATTATAATTTTGTTAAAATGCTTAAAGTGAGTAAAGCCACGGGAAAAAATGAATACTTAAATAAATAAATTTATTTTATAAATATTAGTGCAATTAGTCATTATAAATGAAAAATTTCGGAACCCAGGTAGAATGAATGGATTTGAATATTTTTTTTCTTTTTTGGGTTATTAATACCACGAACTAAAAATTTTACCCATTAAAAATTACCACTGCTTTGAAAATCAAAAATTTTTATAAAAATCTAAGAAATCTAATTAATACAATTAATTACAATTTCAAGAAAATAATAAAGTTGCTATAATTTTTTGAGGTTGTTTATACAAAATTTCTTATATAAAGGTTTTTATAATTAACTTGTTTTTCTCGGGTTCGTCCCTAGGTACCTTTTAACGGACTATACATATATTGTTTATATGATGAGTTGTTGTGAGTTGTATTATAACGTGTTTTCTCGTGGGAATGAGATAATCTCCCGCAATAAAAACAACCCTAAGTCACTCTCCAGCCCTCCAACTATCTCCACAAAAATCATGTCAATCCGTCACTCTGTTTCGACGAGAAAGAAGAACAATCATAGTTTTATCTATACATATAAAATAATATTATAAATTAAAAATTAAGAAAAAACCTCTACGCAAATTAATAGTCATTTAACGATTACACTGACACGCGTGAAGCACTTACTCGAGTAATCATACGCTTAAAAGCCTTACATCACTTTGGAAAAGAGCTGATACTCTCACACTACTGGACCGATATTAACCAAACATGGCGAAGATCCACCGCAAAGAAACTGGCTTTCAAATGAAAAAAAAACCGTATCAAAATCGGTCCATCCGTTTACTTAACAAAATCGATGTGCGCGTTTCAAGCAAAAAGTACTGAACCGATTTGAACTCAATCATGTGTAATGATAACTTACCGAGTATTACACGGGTCAACATTTACGATGTCTTTTACAACAGGAAAATCTTCTACTCCCACAGCAAAATACAATAACTGGTTCTATCGAGTCGTTCTCAGAAATTTAAATGTTCGCTACATCTTAAAATATAGATCAAAATAATGTATTAGAAAATTGTAGGTCTTAATAAGGCCTACAGATAAATCTGCAATAGCATAAGTCTTTCTCCTTAGATACACTCGCAATAACTATTCATAATATCTATAACGTATCGAGGGCGGAGGGACGCACCCGAGCGAAGCGAGGGCAAGTCACTATATTTTATATAGAAAGTAAGTTATTCTCGAAAGAAAAAATAAATATAGCTGTAAAAGAAATGTACTATACTAGACGTAGCATCATTTTCATGGGACACCCCTTAAAAATTATTAGGGAAAGGTTTCCAAAGGTAAACTTTTCAGTTTTTAGTATAAGAAATTAAAAAAATGCACTCGACTACATATGTAGTATTTGATTCTTTTCTATAAAATTATTTCATGTATTTTAAACAAGTAAAAATAGAATGACTAGTTCGGTTGCATAAACTCGTAGGTATTTAAAATTTTAACGTTAATTTTACGAATAGATGAATACGAATTTATTTCACTTTTTACAGTAATAATATTATTGGATAATTTGGAAAAATAAAAATAATATTTACAAAAGCATAAATATATTTATTTACAATACTAACCATTTACAATTTTAACCTTACTTAAGTGTGGCGTTTAACAAGTGTATTTTGACTATATTTTCACCTATATTTATAATTTTATACTCTAGGTGGTTTGGTAAAAGGTCTGTTTATCGAATGAAAAGTTGTAGATTCAATATCACGTGACCTTGAGGCTACTATATTCTGAGGATATCTTTTCACTATCTTTTTAACCAACTTGGGCGGGCCATATGTCGCAAAACCTACAGGAACTTTCACAGTTCTTACTCTATATGAAGAAGTCGCTGGCCTTATAATTATTTTTGTCTTTGGTATAAATGTATGGATATGTGGAACAACTTTTAAAGCTTGATGATGGTGATGATGATGATGATGATGTTGATGATGATGGTGGTATGAGTCAAGTGGCGGAGGAGCGATATAAGCTAGTGGTACAGGAACTACTTCTACATTTGTTTTAACTTTCTGCGGCCTTGAAGTAGGAGGAGGAAGAGATTCAGGTGCAGGTGGTGCTAAGTATTGTCTGAAGTTCACATTTTGATTGGACGGTAAAGGTTGCGCGAAGCTGTTGTCAATATTTGATGGTACTGGTGTTGTGGCCTCTTGTTCACGTTCTGTTGTCCGCAATTGTACCGTTGTTGTTCTTCGTGTCGTAGTTTCTCTATTATTTATAGGATTTTCAGAAGTTGATGGCAACGGTTGTTGAGTTTGCGGTATAAATCCAAATGTTGGTGGAAAGCCAAATGGATATGGTGGAAGAAGTATTGTAGCCACTGGTGCTGCAGCATGCGCCGTTGCAATTGCTATAGCCACATTAGGATCCACAGCAGAACTTTGTGGTTGAACTGCTGTAGGGCTCACAGGTAAAGAAGTCGTTGTTTTTGCATCAATTACGACTGGTGATGCGGGAGCAATAGGGATGCTGGGAAGAATTGGCGGGGCTGGTAAAACAGGGAAAGCAGGAGCTACAGGAATCACTGGATTTGCTGGAGCAGGCACTAAACGGTTAAATGTTCTTTCGAAATATTGTGAGCTTGCAGCAGTTACCACTGGTGCTGTACCCGGAACAGCAACCGGGTGGATAACGGAACCTTGGACGTATCCGCATGATATTGACAATAATATAACCTGTAAAAAATAATAAGTGCTAAAATATACATAATTTAATATATTATAAAGTAAAATTTTAACAATTGAAATCATACCGTCGCAAGCATGGTTGAACGTCCCCCGCGATACAACTTCTGAAGTGAAATGCGGGCCATAAGAAATGGGGTGCACGCTTTTATATAGGTGTAACAAATTTTGCATCGTGGTGTGGCAATGTAGCCTGTGTATCGGAATACCTAATGGTCAATGGGTAAGGACATGAACCTTGATGGCTACAAAATTCGTATTGAAATTACGACGTAGGAATAATAATAACTAGACGTGGGCATTCGAAAAGAGTCAGTCGAAATAAGTATTTTTGTTCATATCTAATAACACTCTACATAAAATATTTTTGTTTTTTACATTACACTGTCTACAATTCTAAATAAAGTGTTCTTTACCATTTGAGCGATTGTGGTTAAATGGACAACAGCACTGCGAATTGCATTCAACACAATTTTTCCTTTCTATACAACACGTCGTGAATTAAAATGAGCATTTAGATTTTAGATAAAGTAACTTTGCTAAGAATATGAAGTCGAACAATTTCTAAGTAGGTATAAAAAAAGAATATAAGCATTCTAAGATGTAGTAGATAGCATAAAAAAGTATTCTAACTTAATAAGAACATTTAATATCTATCCTATATTTTATACAAAAATACAGAAATTTTACCCCAAATATAAACTATCCAAACAGTTAATTTACTAATTTTATAAATTAGTACACTAAAATTAACTTGTATTTAGACCTTTTTACCACTGGGCTACCTGTTGCATAATATAATAATATTTAATAGTTAATACCTATAAGACATTTAGTTTTTAGGTAATAAAACATTCTTCTTAGTATAAAGTGTTCACTTATATTGCCTACTCAATATACATAAAGCTTAGAGCATAGATATGAAAACTAATAATACCATTTATAAAAAATGTGAGATAATATCTTGTTTCAATCAGGAGGCACGTGGAGAAACCCCTTGAACTTTTAATAGACTTTTGCTCTATAATGAAAGTTTGCGATTCAAATACTGCAGGCGTTTGTATACTATTTTTTCTAACACGTTTAGACTGGCTCTTTATCATTTAAGAAGGCCAATGTTATATAAATATTTATGATTTATATTAAATTTATTAATATAAATTTTAAATAGTTGTAATATAATATTATATTAAAATGCGTTAGTACCTATATAATAAGTAGAATATATATTTCAAAATATACTTACTCTTAATTCTTATATTTATTATCTTTACTTTCCAAGGTTTTTTTTCTTTCCGGTAATATGTTGACGATTCCCAAAAAGGGATAGATACTAATCTATACTAATATTATGAAGAGGTAAAGTTTGTGATATTGTGAGTTTGTGGGTTTGTGAGTTTGTGACGTTGTAGAGGGTAATCTCTAGATCTACTGAACCGATTTTCAAAATTCTTTTACCAATAGAAAACCACGTTCTTTCTGAGTGTCATAGGCTATATATTAACCCGAAGAATGAAAAGACTTTTTCATGGTAGTCGGATTTGCAAAGTATGTCGGAGAAAAAACGGTCGAACGAAAACGTTTCTTACGAACGTTGCCTTAACGATAAGAGATATATGATTATGTTCGAGAGAAAAGTTTTAGAGCCTACAAAAAAGTAAGCGACAGCATATGTCTAACTTTTATATTTAAGTCACAATAAGCAGTTTTTATATTAAAAAATAATTTAAATCGGTAGGTCATGTTTATTGGTCATATTATCAACAATTATGAATTCTTAACAAAATAAGTAAATTTATCGTCTAAAATGTTTAAAATAAAAACTTTTTCCTTTTACTGTATATAATTTTGACAAATGGTTAAAGAGATAATACGACATACACGTAGGTATGGAACCGCGACCCCGTCGTAACCTATTGAGTGATATTTTTTTATGATGATTATTTTCATATATAATACGTCAATCTATCTATACTAATATAATAGAGGTAAAGTTTATGAGTTTGTGAATTGTGAGCTTGTTGTATGGGGTAATCTCTAGATCTACTAAACCGATTTGGATGAAATTTGGTAAGAAGATAGTTTGAAACCCTGGGAAGGACATAGGATACTTTTTATCCCGGTAATTATCTCTTTAGGGGGTGAAAATGGGGATGAAAGTTTGTATGGGGAAGCAATATAGATTATTTATAAAATACTAACTCTTTACGAGAAACCAATATGAAATTACGTAAGAATACACAAGTTTGCTATACAATATTTACTAGGCGCTTAAGTACTACTTTGTTTTTACATAATATACGTAGGTATATTATATGAATTGATCATTAACTGTTGGAAAACATGCAATTTATTCAAATCAAAAAATCATTACATAAACAATGATAGTATTTCAATTGCTGTTTCATAAATTTCTGCGTTTAATTTTCTACAGTAAAACAATATAATAATTACTTAACAGTTTATTTTTAGTCGTAGAAGCAATTGATGTTTCAGGAAAAGTACTTAAAATTGACAAGGTACCTATAGTCCAATCGGAATCCGGTTTGGGAACAAAATATTGAAAACCTGAAGTTTTATGATTTTAAAATGTTAGCTGGTATATAAGGAATACAAATTCATAAAATGCCCCACATGCCCAGCTACCCCCGAGAAATGGCGGGACGCAAAGTGTTGAAAAATAGTTTTTTTCAATTTCCGGCTTACTGTAACGTTCTATCGAAAAAAAAATTCTACAAAAGTTGTAGATTTGTACTAGTTCATCAGATAACACTTTTTACAATAACCTCAAAGTTTTCGAGATATTTACAGAAAACTCGGTTTTTAACTTTATCTTGGTTTTTTATTTTTAATTTCTAGAAGAATCTTTTGATTTTCATGAAAATCAGGGAATGTATCTTCGAAATACATACAATAAAAAATAAATTGAAATTGTAATGTTAAGCCATTTCCGAGAAAAGTATGTTTTATTTTGTTATTTTGAATACATAAGTATCTGTCATGAACAAAAAGTTCCTTATTAATTTTTAGGCCGAGACTAAACGTACAAGCGGGTCTCGCCGGTCTCCAGCGTGACTCATAAATTTAGATAATTTGGAGTAGAAAATCTAACGTGAATGTAATATTATCTGATTTTTAAGCTTTCTACTTATTAGATTCCTGTTGAATATACCACTAGCGGGTCAAATTTATCCATACACAAACATAAATAATGAGCTCAGAACCCTAATTCATATTATTATTAGGTAAATTTTGTTATTTGCCGTGTCCGATGACCAAGTCTAGCAGATTAGAAGAACTGCGTTGCGATATTGATATTTGCATTTTTTTTATTACATTGACGTTAAAATTATTTTAAACGGTAATAGGACAATAAGAAACGTTTTAATGCATAAACATTTAATTCATACTATCACATTGTTTGAAGAATTGTTTTTATGGGATATTTAAACGGCAACAACAGAGGGTGCAGCTACATAGGGCGCAGCGGCTACATAGGGGCTGGCTACGTAAGGGCTAGCTACATAGGATGCAGCTGGGGCGACGTATGCGGCAGCAGGCGCGACATAGGCCAAGCCGTTGTTAAAACGATGGTAGTACTGAGAACTACTGGCGGTAACAACGGGTGCTGGAGCAGCGACTAGAGGAGCACTCACTACATAAGGCTTTGCGGCAGCGATGGCGACTAGCGCCGAGATAACGAGGATCTGCAAAAAATTGTTTATGTTTGTTAGAAATACATAATGATATGAATTTTTAATAAACTAAAACTATAATGTACTCTTGACCGATTTAGACCAGTCTCACTGAGACTAGCTAATTTTTTTCACTATTAAACTTTATTTCATTGTCACTTTTTATCACCAGGCCTGATCAACTGGTCATCACCAGAGATCCTGATGTTGACCAGCTGAACAGGCGCAGGACCGACGGCTTTTTATGCTCTCTAAGGCATGGAAATATAAACTCTTCCCAATTCCAAGTTGTAACTATTCAATAGAACTTTAATAGAGAATTTCTTAACAGGAAAACCCAATGATTGAACTTGATAGGGCCAACCACCCTGGGACTCGAACTCAGGATCCCAAACTCGAATCAAAGTTTGCAGCTACTTATGCTAGGCACTAAACCAACGTGGCACTTAAAATCACACAAAAGCTTTAATTTAAAATATTTTTTTAAGTGTAACGTGCCAAACTATCTGCTGATCATTGTTTATTTCCCGTACTGACTTAGAGGGAGGAATTGCCATGTTATCCATATCTGCCTCACTAAGAAAAAAAGACACTAAGTTTTAAATGGAAAGATCTAAAAACAGTGTACTTACCACTTTCATCATTTTGGTTTGCTAGGTGGTTTGTATGTTTGTGATGCTACTGCAAGTCTATGAGTGATGCTCTTTGTCAGTTGATTGTACATTTTATATCGGGCAACGTCCGAGTGGCGCAATACGTTCTGAACGAGGCAACGTCTCTGGCATTGGAGCACGCGTGCTTTGAATCGAACTAAATCTCATTTCACCACTTTGGGGATTTCTCACTAAATACACTTTTTCCTCCTAACTGATTAATGTATTACTTATAGTATATAGCAACGCAGGGAGGCATAAATAATGATTTTTATTATTTACATTATAATTATTATACTTTAATCCATAATGTTGTTATTATTATATTAAAAATTTATAACAACAAGATATTAATCCATTTTTTTTATTTCACAAATAAATTATCTCATACGCCTATTTATTTTATGGATTTATTTATTTTATACCTATTTTGTGCTAAATGCTAACTAAACATTAAAAAAGTTTTTTTTATTATATCTAATTAAGCCAAAAATAGCTTATTAGGTCTTAATATATTTATAATTATTAGTAAAGTATATTATTTTTAAACCTTACCTAAATAAGAAGCATTTTTTTAGTTTTTAGATAAGATGAAAATATAATAAAAATAAAAATAAAGTAATTAATAGTACAAAAATATTTTAAAATGAAATCACAAAATCAATGTCAACCATAAATACGCTTCATGTCACTGACAGCTGTTTGTTTACGTAATAACTAAGGGCAGGGCCGGTAGTCAACGTCTGCGCCGGACAACATATTGTCACCAGCGATTAACGCCCAATTTCTATTAAGTAACACCTAAATGATGCATTTTGTATAATAATATGCATAAAATAATAGTGTATTTAATTAGACAGGGAAAGATTATCACTTTGAAAGAGAGAAGTTTTAGAGGCCAGAACGAAGATGGGAATCAATAGTGGAAAATACTCGTAACAATATTATGAAATACGAGTATACCTACCTAAGTAAAGCTATATTTAGAAGCCATAATAAACTGACTCCTAAATGTGAAGAAGATTTTCGTTGTTGTTGAATATCTATAGGTACCTATACTTATATGATATACATATTTTATGATGATTTTATAGGTGTGTGATTATCTTAATATATTTTTACGTAATCATAGGCCTAATAGGTAATTTCTTAATTTATAATACTCTCACATAAAAGGTTTAATTAAAAATTAAATAAAACAATACGTAAAACAAACCCTTACAAAAAAAATAGCAATACAGTATAGGTATATTATACAATCATATGATGTTCTCCTAGCCGATTCCGGCTAAGGCGGCCAATCTCATTGAGACTAGCCAACTGCGCAGGAAATACATATTATAGTGCACAAGTGCACTCTCTATTCCTGTCACTCTCATACTCCGGTGGGACGACGCGAGACATGACCAGTGAGAGTTAAGGCGCAGGACCGACGGCTTTACGTGCTCTCCGAGGCACGGGGGTCAAATACCGCCAACTTCCCAACTCCGGGCTGTTACTGAGGCTTACTATAGAGAAAGACTCAATAACTAAACTTGGCCCGACCCGGGACTCGAACCCAGGACCTCCGTGTGTGCAGTCGTGCATGCTAGCCACTACACCACCGAGGCAGTTACAATCATATAACACATTCATAGGTTGTACAACTACTCTTCTTACATGAAGTGAATTCATTTTATTAGCTTTCAAGTTCAAATTCCGTGAAAAACAGTGCATTAATGCATATATTTTATTTATTACTAGCGACTCACTCTCGCTTCGCTAAGTTTCGTCCCCGGGTTGATTCCCCATACAAACTTTCATCCCCGTTTTTACCCCTTTAAGCGATGATTTCCAAAATAAAAACTATCCTATGTCCTTACCAGGGTCTCAAACTATCTTCTTACCAACCAATTTCATCTAAATCAATCCAGTAGTTTCGGAGCTTATTAGGTACAAGTAAACAAACCTTATGATGTAAGCAATACTTTTAGGTATAGGTATGCTTTTATGTCTCACATTTAATAGAAAGCTTTTTATCACATAATCGAAAACATTAAAGTATATGTTACTGATATATAACGTGTATTTTACATCTTTCGTACTTAAACTAAGACAAAGAGATTGTTTCAAGGTTAATCTATTGTATGGGAAATGGACATTACGCGTTGTTCTATGATTTACGTTGTAGTTTAAGCAACATTTTTCTTTATTTTCTTCATCACGTTATTAGACGTATTGCGTTTTTATGTGTAAAGTGAAGAAATAAATGAAATCAATTAAATGAGGCTCTAAAAGAAGTTTAAGCAAATTGATAATAAGATATTTTTATGTGCGAATCATTTCCAACATCATCATGAGGAAACCTGCACGTCTGAGAGAACCTAGTAAGTTTTCGAGAGACTTCTGAAGTCCGCCAATCCGCAGTTGGCCAACGTGGTGGACTATGGTCAAATCTCCATCGTATTGAAAGGGCCCCCTGGTCCAGCAGCGGAACGCTAAAAAGAGCTGAATACATACATACACACAATAAGATTTTACAATACATAGAAGTTAGACAACATATTTCGCAGCGCAATTTACAATAAGTTAGCTAATGCTCTCGTTCATATGCGATATTAAGATAAAATAGATATTGTTGTTATGTAAGGATTTTTATATTTTGTGTACATTTTTTTCTATTCAACCTATTTCCTTTCAATATTCTGCGTTATATATGAGGTATTACTTTCATGCAAACAACAACCGTTGTTTATACTGACGCAACGACGGCGAGAACGCGTGTAAGCTTTCATGGACTTTCGTTCGTAACATCTCTCCTAATTGTATTTAAAGCCTTCTATGGACATGAGTTACTCGTAAGCTGTATATTAATAGAGACAAATTATTACAAACTTTAAGTAAAAATAGTTTTTTTATATATATAAGAAAAAGAAAATTTCTATAGATTTATATTATTAACTAGCATTGCCCGCGGTTCTGCCTGCGTTTAGATGACCAAAAACCCAATTCTTAGGTTTTACATACTCTACATACATTGCAGTTTTTGTATTTTTCTCAGAAATGAGATATTTTCCCGCGGTAAAAAGTGTCCTATATGTTGACCCCGATAACCAGCTATCCAATACCAAATTTTATCAAAATCCCTCCAGTGGTTTTTCCGTGATGCGGTAACAGACAGATAGACAGACAAACAGACAGACATACATTCTAAAAACTATAGATTCGGCCTCTGTATCGATAATAATTTCTATTTCAATAAGATTTTCCAAAAAATATTTTATGTAAAGATTCTGCTCAGATACTTATTATAATGTATAGATAACACCCAGGGCTCCGCCTCTATTCATAAGAATTTTAATTTCATAGTATTTTTAAATTATTTCATAGAAGTTCCCCTTTTCTACATATATATTTACATTACTGCTATTAAAATTATAAAATACTAGCGACTAGGTTGGTTCATTATCATCCCCTTAAGGGATGATTTGCGGAATAAAAACTATACTATATCCTTCCCAGAGTCTCAAACTATCTTCTTACCAGATTTCAGTTCAATCGGTTCAGTAGATCCAGAGATTACCCCCTACAACGTCACAAACTCACACATTTTACCTCTTTATAATATTAGTATAGATGAATAGATAGAAGATTAGGGATAGCAGTTATAAAATATCATTTTGTCTAGCTCTTTTTAGATTATTTGCTACTATTTTGCGATATTGGACAAAACATTTTTAAATCTCATCGTGAGAGACAAAATTAATTTAGAATTTAAAGCAAATTGAGTCAAGATTTGACTTTGTAACAAAGCTAAAGATATTTTTAAATCTTATATATATCTTAAAAAGTCCTAGGTTGGACGTAGAACAATTTCATATGCTTTATATAATATTATTCTATAAATAAATCTTCTATAAATTTAATACATCTCGCTCATCAAAATATTGATCAGCTCAATACATATGGCATAGATTCTGCAATCTCTTAATTTAGAATGAGCTAGAAATATTGTAGACTTATTCATACAATCAAAGTTCTTAATAATAGAAACAAGTAAAATTTAGGTATTAGTTAAGTTCAATTTATAACAATAAAAACTTAAATAAAGCAAACTTTTATACCTATATGAATCAAATGCATAATAAGGACTTTTATGTTTGATCTAAAGGATTTTTAAAGTATGTTTTTTCTAAAGACTTAAGCACATGACAAAATAGCTATTCATGCATAAATAAATAATCGTACGTAATGTACTTATGCAATTCAGAGCAATTTTTAGTATTAAAAAGTGGAGTGGGTGTCTGTCCATCGCAATTATAGATAACTCAAAATCAGACGTGTAAGGTACCTATTAGCATAATACAGTATGTTCATATTCGATATTATGAGTTCATGTGAAGTTCATGTGAAGAAAACATCTAGCTTTCTTGCCCTTCCAAGATATTCGTATAATCTGTACGTTAACAAAGTGAAAATGGAAAACATATGGGTTTTCCGTCAAGTGCAGGTCTCCTCACGATATTTTAAGACTATCATGATGAAAATGATTCCAATAATATGAAAATTTCGGAGTACCGGGTACGACAACTATACTTCGAACCGTTTCACTTGCTTTATACCACAGACGTTTGATAACTGGACTTCCACTCCCTTCACTGGATTTTGGCATGGATAATAAATGATTGTAACATTCCCGCATAATATATGTAAGTCTGTTACATGTTACCTATCATGTTTGATGAAAAATTACGTATAATATGTTTAATATGTTAATTTTAACAAAATATAAACAACATATATTGATATCTATAATTCCCATTATCTTTGTCAGTGTGAATTATGTATATTTAGCATGATAATCTATTGTATTTCCGTAGATATATATATATATATATATATATATATATATATATATATATATATTATATATATATATATATATAACTAACCTGAGTAGAAAGTTATGGTTTGTATTCGCCACCTAAAGTACTATAGTACTAAGGTTATCGACGTCGTTATGCTGTCGAAATTTAAGCATTATGTAGTGGTTTCGTTTGATAAATTAGTTAGTCACGTGTAATTTTCTTTGTATAGATTAACTCGTTAAAACATCAAAGAAATATTAAATATCTACGCGTACATACGAATGTGATTTCCACACGTACAATTAATTTCTATTATATTAAAATAAATGTGGGTGATTTCACGTGACAGTTGACACGTGAACCTTGCCGTTGAACATAACATAGGTTACTATTAATTACAAGTCATGCGAAAATTTGAATTAGTTATAACTTATAAAGATAAACTATTTTAATAATTAAAAATATGAAATGAAAACATGACTCAAGATTGTGTCGGTCTTGCAATTTTTTATTATTAGTTTCGGGTATCCGCAAAAATAACTTAAATACTGTATTATTTTCATTTAGCTCATATAACACTTCAAAAGTACCTACCAATTGTAGGGAAGAGAGATAAGCTTTTTTATTAATTAATATACGTAGATTAATAAATATAAGAAAATTTGAGTGTTTTTATTTAAATTGACACCAAATACAATTATAATATAGTTATATATTGTTACTGATATACATATTATATTAACGAAATTTTAGAGCATTTATTTGAATAAAACTGTATATTTGAGATTAGGGTCCTTCGATATTATATTGTATTGTAATGCTTAAACTTTCGCACTTTACAAATACTTATTATTTATTGTTCGATATTAAGAGGTTTCTGTTATTAGTTAATTTACTTAATGTTGGCATAATAGCGATAACAAAGGAACTCTTATAGGTATGTACGCGTCACTTGCTAAATGAAAATGTTCATTATGAAAACAATTAAATTTCTTCTTCACATACTTTTGTAACAAGTATATTTATAATAATTATAATATTTGCAACATTTAGTTTCAGGCCTTGTTATTAAATCATTAAAAGACATATACAGATGGGAATAAATATATTTGTCATTTATTTGTTACAATCAACTCAACGTACAAAGTACTCATAATTATAAGGGTAGGAATATGCAGCATAGTCATAGGCAGTGGCATAACCCGGATAGTAGTATGGAGCTGTGTAGTCGACAGCCACAGGAGTAGAGTATGCGGACACCGATGCTACCGGATATTCCACTACTAAAGGCTTGGCAGCGGTAAAAGCCAAAAGAGCGGCAAATAATATCTGAAAATTATAATTTATATAATCAATATACTCTAAAAATCTGAATAGTCCTATTCAAAAATAAATTAAACACTGAATAAATAAAACTAAATGTCAGACAAAATAAAAATATTAAATTAATTAATTTATTAAATGTACTTACGTATTTGAACATTTTGAATTATGTTATTGATTGATTGGTATCGGAGGAACCAAATGACAATGATAAAATCAATTGATTTTGTCTCTATTTATATAGGAACTATGATGAACATCTTTGGCGAATAAGTAGCCAAATATCCTTAAAGAACTAACTTGTAAATATTGTCACGCACAACCTCGCTTGCCCACTGCGAGAAAGATATTATAAGGTCAAGGTGAAGTATAACCCAAATAAGGATTGTGGACGAGATTTTTGTTGCTTCAAAATATAATAGACCTACGCTTACTTCACTGCGATACCCTATCTGTTTAATCTGCGTCTCATGCAACAAGGCTAGCAAAAATTTTTTATTAAAGCAATTCAAGATTTCTATATGTATTTCTATATGTAGAATGTTGCTCTACATATAGAAATACTGCTTAGAGGGCTAAATGTTATTTAAAAATTTAAAGTAAACTAGCGGCTCACCCGCGCTTCGCTCGGGTTCGCCTCTAGAAAAATACTAATAGAGATCTACTAGTTCCCACGGAAACCGTTCATTTTTCCCGGGATGAAAAGTAACCTGTTATTTGACCGGCAATATAAGGTATCAGAATGTTAAATTTTACTAAATTAGGTGCATAAGTTGTGTACTAAGCTGTATAAGATACTATAGTTTTTTTAACTATCCCACGGGAACTCTTTCATTTTCTGGGATTAAAAGTATCTAAGATGTTGACCGGGGATATAAGGTACCACCATGAAATTTCATTTAAATCGGTCCAACAGTTTCGGAGATTAGCTCGTACAAACATACAAACTGACAAATAGACATACAGGCAAACAGACAAACAGACAATTTTTTTAATAACTATTGTTTTGGAGTCTATATTGTGTACATAATACGTTACAAACAAACAAAAACAGATCTATCCCACGGAAAACGTTCATTTTTCCGGGATGAAAAGTAACCTGTTGTTTGACCGGCAACATAAGGTATCAGAATGCCAAATTTTACTAAATTAGGTGCATAAGTTGTTGTGTACTAAGATGTATAAGTTACTATAGTTCTTTAACTATCCCACGGGAACTCTTTAATTTTCCAGAATGAAAAGTATCCTACATGTTGACCAAGGATATAAGGTACGACCATGCAAAATTTCATTTAAATCGGTCCAATAGTTTAGGAGATTAGATCGTACAATCAGACAAACAGACAGAGAAACAAAAAAATTGAAAAAAATCTGGAATTGTTCTATTTGTCTTCTTACATCCCCCTGACTCGGTTTTTAGCATTTTTTTGCTATGTACAGACACTCGATCTCTACTCTTTTATTATAGTATAGATAAGGAATTAATAACATCTCATAGTTACATCTAAAGTTATAATTATAAAATCCATACGTACGTCTTAGTACGTAAAAGTATTAACTCAAGAATTCATAACCCAGTTGTAATAACATTAGTTTTTTATTCCATAATGTTAACCATTCTGAATTTATATTTGTATACGAAGAGTTATTAATTCAACAATTACGTTTTGGTAATTTATATAAAAGTATCAATGAAATAAAATTATTTAATAAACGCTTAACTTTCACTAATAATTTCAAAAAATCAGTTTTGAATATATATACGAGTACTAGAGCTATAAGTTATAGGCAACCCAGCTTGTTAAAATAATTATAAAAAGTTTAACGTTGTTGCTTCATTAGTTATTTTTTTTCCAAAACATTTTCTCATTGAAAAGAAAAATAATTTTTACACTTGAATAGATATAATATTATAAAAATCACATTATTTCGCAGAGCAGTAATATAATAAATAGTCTATCTATTCCACACTAACCGTTAAAACGTACCTCGGGACGAACCGGAATAAAGTGAGGTTGAGTCGCTAGTTTAAATAGAAAATTCCCTAAAAATATACTCCTCAGCTCTACATCCAAATTCATTAATTTATGATTATAAGGAAGTTTGCGAAGTCGCATGAAGCGAATCCAAGTAAAAAATAGTTCTACCAGATGAGATCTTAATGACCCTCTCAACAAAAGCAAATCAAAGCCATGACTTAAAATTACTACTAATTTCCGTAGAACCAAAATTATTTTGTACAACGTGTTTGTGAGAAGTTGCCTTGAGTTTGCCAGTATCGTCTGGAATCCTTCCTATCACATACATTCCCAACGTATCGAAAGCGTACAACGCGCTTTTACAAGGTACCTTGCATTCCATGCCACTGGTATCTCACATAGACAACCCTATAATCAGAGATTGGTTGAATTTAAAATGATGTCTCTTCGAAGCAGGCGGGAGATACTTGATCTGTGTTTCTTGCACAAAGTAATCAATTACAAAGTCAAGTGCAGCAAGCTGCTTGAACGAATTCCCCTATCAGCACCAAGTAGATATCCTCGCTATTGCAATTCTTCTCAAAAAACATTCCATATACCTTTCGCTAGAACGCATCTCGGTAAGCAATCTCCCATAGCTCGCATATGTGCTAAATATAATGAAATATCTCGAGCTCTGCCTGGCATCGACATATTTCACAACTCATATGATGTATTTAAAAAAAAACTCACCGATCATCTATCGGTGAGTCTTCATTTACATTGAAATAAATATATATGTTTATTCTTTTTTCCTTTTCCCCCCCTTAGTGTTTACATGTATTTGTTGGTGAATGTTATGTACACTAGTTATTGATATACATATCAGTGTGTGTTACTTTTCAATTTTCTTAATATGTTGTGTGTTAATGTTAAATATGTATATTGTAAGTGTGCTTATAAAATAAATAAATAATAAAATAAATAATGGCATAGGACGAATAAGCAAAGAAAAAAAATTATGAAAATAGATAAGAAAGGCGGTAAAGGTGTTGTAGAAATAAAAGAAAAAGGAATTTAATAGAATGATATACTTTGTGGTGGAACGAAGAGGAGATAACTAAGGCATGGAAGAATACACATAAAAGCAAAAAATAGCTATATATTGTTTCACATACAAACATTATACATTTTAATAATGATTAGAATAATCTTCGTTAACGATTATATATATATATAAATAAATGTGTCTAGTCAGTTAAAATTTAGATATTTAAATACATACATTATAGCATATTTTGGTGCAAGTGATCATTACGAATATTTTGTTTGAGAATTCTGCGCGCGTGCCACAACGCTATTTCCCAATGGGAGACAAACAGCGACTAGTATAAAATGACTTGAAGCTGAATACTGAGCATCATATACATTTCTCGTCTTCACTCATTCACTACGAGCTTTATCAAAATCAAACTATCAAAATGTTCAAGCTGGTAAGTTGGATTTATTTAATCAATTTGTAATAAATTTTAAATTAATTATTTACTTTATTTACTGGAGCAATCAATCAAACCTGTAATGAATGATATATATGTATATTTATGTTCAAATTATTTTTAAATTAAAATATTTTCTCTACAGTTCATCTTCGCCTGCTTCCTCGCCTTCGCCGCCGCTAAGCCGCAAGTGCTGGTCTCAGCGCCTGTAGCAGCGGCGTACACCGCCCCTATCGCTGCGGCGTACACAGCGCCTGTAGCGTACTCCGCCTACTCAGCTTACAGTACCCCGTTCGCTGCTTACTCCGCCTATCCTTACGCATCAGCTTATCCTGCATACTACCTCCGTCGTTGATCAATGAAACTGAAGAAAAACCAAGTTAAGTTGAATGCTTAAACCAACATTATTTAAGTATTATTTAATAAATAGTTAGTAAAATATATGGCTTTAAGTTTAAATTATTTATTAATAATTAATAACCCCTTATAAAAGACTAGCGGCTCACCCTCGCTTCGCTCGGGTTCGCCTCTAGAAAAACACTAATGGAGATCTATTAGTTCCCACGGGAACCGTTCATTTTTCCGGGATGAAAAGTAACCTGTTGTTTGACCGGCAATATAAGGTATCAGAATGTTAAAGTTTACTAAATTAGGTGCATAAGTTGTTGTGTGCTAAGCTGTATAAGATACTATAGTTTTTTAACTATCCCACGGGAACTCTTTAATTTTCTGGGATGAAAAGTATCTAAGATGTTGACCGGGGATATAAGGTACCACCATGCAAAATTTCATTTAAATCGATCCAACAGTTTCGGAGATTAGCCCGTACAAACAGACAGAGAAACAAAAAAAAAGAAAAATCTGGATTTGTTCAATTTTTCTTCTTACAGGATGTAAGAAGATAACTGACTCTGTTTTTAGCATTTTTTTCTATGTACAGACATTCGATCTCTACAGTTTCATTATATTTATAGATAGAATAAATAACGTATAATAAAACAGTAATATATAATTATGAAAATAGTTATAGCGAGTGTACCTTAGGGAGATAGACATATACTATTGAGAACCTTTTTATCGGCCTTTTTAAGATTTACAATTTTCTTGTACAATGATTTGATCTATCTCTTTAGGTTGAGCCAGCGTTAGCTATATACGTAAATTTCTAAGGACAATTCGATAGAACCAGTTATTGGGTTTTCCCGTGGGAATGAATAATTCGCCTGTCGTAAAAGGTATCCTAAATATTGACCCGAGTAAAGTTATCACTATACAAAATTTAATTAAAATCGGTTCAGTACTTTTTGCGTGAAATGCGCATACAAAAAAATAGACAAACAGACAAATTTTTTAATAACTATTATTTTGGGGTCTATGTTGTGTACATAATACGTTACAAATAAACGAAAACATCTAGCCCACGGGAACCGTACATTTTCCCGGGATAAAAAGTAACCTATTTGTTATTCTGATGAATGACCTATATTATTGTAAAGTTTCATCAAAATCCAATCAGTAGTTTTTGTGTACTAAGCTGTATAAGTTACGATAGCTTTTTGACTGTCCCACGGGAACCCTTTAATTTTCCGGGATGAAAAGTAGCCATTTTGTTATTATCATGTATGCACTACATTATTGTAAAGTTTTATTAAAATCGAATCAGTAGTTTTTGTGTACTAAGCTGTATAAGTTATTATAGGGTCATTCCATTATCGCGGGTGCAACATTTAGACGCACGCAATGTTTCTTAATAATAAAATAAACAACATTTTTTTATTAAAAATAATCCTGGAAGAACTACATTTTCACATGTTCAATTTATATTCGTTTACAAGAATTTTAATATAATATTTAAATAGCCAGGAGGAAGGTTCAAAGTGCTATCGCGGATGCAACAAAGTTGGCCCCACCTTTCCAGATCATAAGAAAAGAACACAAGTCTGTTAATTTTGTAACATTTATTGTGTTATGCCTTGATATTTCGTAAGGTGTTAAATTAATCAAGTACAAAAATAAAGAAGTTTAAAGAAAACAAAGATAAACAATGAATTATTCATTTTTAAAGCAATCGCGGGTGCAACATCAAATTATCGCGGGTGCAATTCGTCTACTTTAAGTAAATATAAATATGAATAAAAACATTTATTGGACTAAAATAAGATATCAAACAATGTTTATTACTTATCAGTACACTTCTTTGTCACTTACGTTAGTTATTTTTTAACACAGAAATTCAAAAACAAAAACATTCGGGATAGGTTTCTTTAAAAATTTGATAGGCTTCTCCATTATTCATGATCATTGTCCTCTTGTGGATTCGTAATTTAGTTCCCGTATTGCACTTAACTGTTTAACTTGTTCTTCTTTACGACGTTTTCTAGTTGCCTGCATTCTTTCTTTTGATGTGATTCTAGCCAGTATTTTCAAATCTTCATCTGTCTCCATTTTCTTTATCATTATTTCTCTCCGTTTTAAATCACGAGCCGTTTCTCAACAGAGATGATCTGCATGAACGTCAGGATTTTCTTTTAACTTTCACGTATATTTATGTGAAGCAGACTGTTTCGGTAACTCCTCTGTCATTTTAATCGATGTTTGTATAAAAAAATAGAATTTATAATACAAACACACATATTAAATATATATCATCAATCATACATAGTATATATTATTATTCAAGGTATATCAACACAATAAAATATATAATAAATCCACAATAAGGTTAGTTGTCAAAGAGTTGCACCCGCGATTCTGATTACGATCGCGGGTCCAACCAATTAAGTTAATGTTTATTTTAATTCAACTGACATTACACTCTTAAAAACGATTAAGTTTACTTATGAATTCTTCTAACTTTTACAAATATTCAAAACTGTAGCACTTTATTTCTGTAAACAAACTTTTATATCTTTTGTATCGCGGGTGCAACAAACTAACAGTGCTATCTTCTTATAATCAATGGTGCTTAAAGTATAACAAGTACTTACATTTTTTGGCGTATATAAAGAAATTAATATTATCACTTCACATTTAGCTAGTAAAACATAATTTCAAACGGTCGGCAATAGCTGTTTCCCTTCCCTTGTTGCCTGGTGTGATTTTGCAGTTTAAACTAATTCCTCAAATGGTGATTTTTGCAAGTGCGTGAAAAATTAAAATATACAGTAAAATGGAATATTTTTCTTTGAATATTAAATTTCAACTTTTTTCTTTGCACTGATATTATAAAAAGTAACAAATAATGTAATTTAAAAAATTAAGTCTAGTATCCTCTATAGTATAGTTTTTTAACTATCCTACGGGAACTATTTAATTTTCCTAGATAAAAAGTATCTAAGATATTGTCCGGGGATATAAGTTACCACCATGCAAAATTTCATTTAAATCGGTCTAATAGATTCGAAGATTAGCCCGTACAAACAGACAAACAAACAGACAGAGAAACAAAAAAATTGAAAAAATCTGGATTTGTTCTATTTGTCTTTTTACATCCCCCTGACTCGGTTTTTAGCATTTTTTGCTATGTACAGACATTCGACCTCTACTCTTTTATTATAGTACTAGCGGACCCGACAGACGTTGTCCTGTCTACACGTCTTTAAATTGAAAATTTCAAACTTTTTTTAATAAGCTAAAACATTCTGGACCATTTTGATGAAAATTATTATTCAAATTGTGAATCTAAACCATTCCCAGATCCCCTTGAACACACACAAAAAATTCATCAAAATCGGTCCAGTCGTTTGAGAGAAGTTCAGTGACATACACACTCACAGAAGAATTATATATATAAAGATAGATATAGATAAGATATATTATCTAAGTGTAAATGTACCCAACAGGAGTTATACAGGCTTAAATAAATGTGCCTATAATCTTTGAGTTCATATAAATTCTATAGAAAATAGCACTTTCAGTTTTTCCCGAATTTTTCATTTTTCGAGTACATTTTCCAATTTTTGTTCTTATTTGGTCTATTACAACATTTTTTTTTAAAATAATGTGTCAAATAAATCAAGTTAATGATATTAAGAGTTAAGTAGGTTATTAGTTAAAAAAATATTTTAAAAAAGTAATAAATTCAGTATAGATGCATGAACTTATTTTAAAAAATACAACAGATTAAATTGAAATTTATCATTTACTAGGAATTGCTTCACAAAAAAATATTTTCTGCAAAAATAGAACGAGCTAGCTATAGCAGTTCAAAAAAAACGACCCGGAAAAGTAGTACGGACAGACGCCTTAAGTAAGTATAAGGTGCCGATCTACTCAACACAAAGTTTAAAAACATATAAGAATTTAAGATAATTATTTTATTTATTTAATAACTGTAATATAGTAATTACGTGTATTATTTAAATTTAATTTAAATATTAATATTAATATTAAAATTACATAAAATGATTTTGATGATGATTCAATGATGCCGTATGCCGTTTCAGAATTCTCTGCGCGTCCCACAAGGCCGTTTCTCAATAGCAGGTAGAGCCGAGGCGAGTATATATTGACTTGAATCCCAACAGTGAACATCATACACATTTCTTGTGCCTTATTAGTTAGGTACTTCGAATTTAATTCAAATCAAATATCAAGATGTTCAAGCTAGTAAGTATTTAGTTTTCTACGTTATATATACTCTGTTTTGTACCATTGTGGCATGCTTAAGTAGTAAGTACTGTTTAATGAAAGCGAAGCAATCATCCTACAGATTTTGTTAGAGGCTCTCTTTCTACCCTTTAAGTGAAAGTGCGTAAAAAAAGAAAACGATTTTTTATATTAAATCATCTTTTTAATTATTTTTTCAACTTTTTTAACATGAATAATTTTTGAAGGGATATATATCAACAAAAATCGATATGGAAGACAACTATTTACTTAATAAAATTTTTCTCCACAGTTCATCTTCGCCTGCTTCCTCGCCTTCGCCGCTGCTAAGCCGCAAGTGCTGGTCTCAGCGCCTGTAGCAGCGGCGTACACCGCCCCTATCGCTGCGGCGTACACAGCGCCTGTAGCGTACTCCGCCTACTCAGCTTACAGTACCCCGTTCGCTGCTTACTCCGCCTACCCTTACGTGTCAGCCTACCCTGCGTACTACCTACGTCGTTGACGGAAACAACAAATTTGATATGAACTAAAATAACATAAAAATATTTTATTTATTCAACAAATAAACAAGAAGTACTTATTACATACATTGTTCTTATTTACATACGTTGCTAATCTACGAAAGCTTTACTCTTGAATGGAATATTTGCTAAATTCTGAGAGATTGTTATATTTATTTTACTAATTATTTAACTTATTATAAATTTTTGATTTCCAAGTTTAGTATAGATTTCTCAGAGATGA